CGCGACGATGCTCGCAACGGTCGGGTTTGGCGACGTGACGGCCGTCACGTTCCCCGAGACCATCTATGCGATCCTCGTACGTTGCTACTTTGTGTTTTTTGCGCTTTTTGAGCGTCTGACATGTTGTGATTTGGGGGAGTTTTGGTTGATAGATTGAGTTTAGGTCATTTACGTGGGCATCTTTGTGTCGTGCGCATCGATTGCGTCGGTGGTCAAGCTCATGGAGCACGCGGATCGCAATGAAATGGCGCTGCAAGAGATGCTCGACGACGTCTGCGGCTACCTCGAGTGGCGTGGCGCGTCCATCGAGCTCCAAGACCGAGCGCTCGTGGCGGCCAAAGCGGCGTTCGTGCCCGAGCTCAACGCGACGGGCGCCGAGCTCGAGACGACGCTGCCGTACGCGTTGCGGTCGCGGCTCCAGATCGAGCGCGAAGAGGCCATTCTGCACGGCGTTCCGCGATTCCAGCACTTGAGCAAAAGCTTGCGCCAAGCCATCTCGGAGCAGGTGGTTTACGTCAACAAAGCGCCCGGCGACATTGTCTTGTCGGCCAACAGGCCGCTCGACGGTCTCTACTTCTTGCGCGTCGGCGCCGCCGAGTTTCGATCCGCCGAGAACGCGGTCTTGCGCACGCTGCGCGTCGGTGAATTCTTTGGCGACCAGTCGCTCTTCCAGAAATACGAGCGCGTTCCCTTCACTGTTGTCTGCACGGCGGCAAGCGAGTTTGTCTTCTTGTCGGCGCAGAAATTCCGCGAAGTCGTGGCCACCGAGCACGCGGTCCAAGGCCTCGATGACGACGACGACGACGTGTGGACCAAGGAAGACGGCGACTACGGCTTTGCTCGCGTCCTCATGCAGCACGAGAGCAGCAGCTCGAGCACCCGGGCCGGTCGTCGTCGCCGGTGCCGCCTCAACGCGTCCGACTACTTGCCCAACTCGATGTTTCGGCGTGTGTGGACACTAGTGTCGCTCACCGGGCTACTCTACAATGTGTACGCGGTGCCACGCGACTGTGCGTTCTTCCAGTCGCACAACCGGTTCGAGAACCTCGACCCCGAAGCCATGGCCAACCTCCTCATCTTTTGGTGCTTCGACGTCTTTTTCGCAATGGATTTTTACTTGCACTGCACGCGCTTTGCCGTCGAGCACGACGGGACTATCGTCACGGAGCGGCGCAAGGTCCGCAACCTCTTCTTGCGCTCCGGCTGGTTCTGGATCGACGTTGTGTCGATTCTGCCGCTCGACGCGCTCGGGCTCGTGAGCGGCATGCGCGACCTCCCCTTCTACCGCCTCAACAAGGTACTCTCTCGATCGATCCATCGATCTATCCTGTATCGATCGATCCCCTCACCGGTGTTAGATTTTGCGTTTTCTGCACTTGATCGAGTACTTCCAGGTCGCCGAGGCCATGCTGCTCTCGCGCTTCCACATTCACGTGTTTGCGCGCCGCATTCTTCGCATTCTCTCGATCCTCGTGCTCTCGGGGTACATTGTCGGGTGCTTTTGGTACTACATTGCCCAGGTCACGAGCGAGGCGTACGACGGCGCAACGTGGGTCGCGATGGACCAAGGCAACGACGATTACTACTTCCAATCGTACGTGCACAACCGGCTGTACATCATCCGGTCCATGTACTTTGGCTACATTGGCGGCTCCACGTTGGGGTTTGGCGACATCGTGCCTGTGAACCCGTACGAAACGCTGGTGGCGACCATCATGCTGCTCTACGGCGCGATCATCAAGCCTGCGCTTGTTGGGTCAGTTGCGTCGCTGCTCTTGACGCGCAACAAGGTCAAGCTTTCGCAGCAAAAGACACTGATTGGGTACAACGGCAAACTCAAAGGGCAAACTCAAAACGCAACATCGTCTAGGTTCAAGTGGCTCGTCACCGCGCACAAGCTCCCGAAAGTGCTCAAAGAACGCATCCTCATGTACTTTGAGTTTATGTGGGACCACGAGTACTACGAGAAAGAGAGTGCGATCTTGGGCGTCCTCGCGCCGCTGCGCTGGGAGATCATGCGCAGCATGTGCCGCAACGCGCACCCGAAAGCGTGGTTCTTTGGCCACATCAACGACGACTGCATGCGTCAGATCTACGCCCTCTTGGAGCCGCAGCTGTACATGCCCCATGCCACCGTGAGCTTGCCGCAAGGGACGCTTGGTATTCTCAACACGGGCACACTCTTCCGCGCGTCGTCGACCGAGCGCCACGAGATCTTTGAAGAGGGCTCGCTGCGCCTCCGCACCTTTGGCATCGAGTGTTTTGTCCAATATGGCATGCCGGACGCGTCACTCGAGCAGACACACGCGTTCACGTACGAGACGGACGACCTCTTCTGCGAAGTCCTCCTTCTGCATGCGCCGGCCGTCGAGGCCATTCTCGCCCCCGCTGGTCAATGGGCACCGCTGCTGCACGACATGCTGCTGCACTTGCAAGGGGACGACGCCGAGGCAATCGCACTGAGTATCCAGACAGCAGCACCGACCGAGGAAGACAGTACGAACGAAGACGACGAGGTCGATCCGGCGCCGGCCACGTACTACAAGCCATCCCATGTTGTGCCACGTGGGAGTCCGAAGCGCAACTCGCCAACGCGCCGGAAGCGCGCTGCGCTCAAGCTCATGATCAAGTCGTCGGCGGCGAAGGAAAAAGATCTGCTTCGGTCGAGTCGGTTCCACCCGAAATCGCGCGTCCGTAAAGTGCTCTCGGTGCTCGTCGTGCTCGCTCTCCTCTACAATGCGTTCCTTGTGCCGTTCCGGCTCGCGTTCTTCTCGTCTCTGCAGCCGCCATCGTATCTCTACGGCTTCATCATCGACTACGTCCTCGACGTGCTCTTTGTTGCCGATGTCATCGCCAAGTACAACTTCAAGCTCATGAGTCTCCGCCTCGAAGGATCGACGCGCCGACTGCACCTGACCGTGTTTGCGGCGCTGAAATGGGACATTCTGTGTGCGCTGCCCATGGAGCTTTGCTTTCTCGGGCTCCTCGTCAGCCGCCCGGACCTCGTCGTCGCGATCCTCACCATCTGTCGGCTCCCAAAGGTGTTTCGGCTGCGGTACTTTGTCGTGCGCATCCGAGAGCTTGCCAACACGGCGGTCCGCGCGCGGCCGCAGCTCAACGACCTCGTGGTGGCGTGCCGGTACTTTCTCTTCATTCTCTTCTTCTCGCACTTGCTCGCGTGCGCGTGGCACTACCTCGCGTTTGCGGACAAGGGCATTCTTCCGTGGTCCGAAGACTGCAACCACCTCGACAACACGCACGTGAACGACGACGTCAACCCTGGCAACGTCACGCTGCGTGCTCGCTGCCTCTTTGACGGCACGTGGATCGAGTTTCAAATGAAAGGCGGGTACCTCCCGCCGGACGGCGGCACGATCTGGGAACGCTACTCGCGCTGCTTCAACTTTGGCATTCAGATGCTCCTCGTCGTCTCGAGCGGCATCATCGTGCCCGTCAATATGGTCGAAACCTTCTCGTGCATCATTGCGATCTTCGCCGGCATCTTCTTTAGCGCCGGCAAGATTGGCGTCATTGGCGAGATCGCGCTCAAGGTCGACTCGCTCTCGGCGTCGATCCGCCAGAGCACCGACGCGCTGAGCAAGTACATGGAGTTCCATCAGACACCGCGCGAGATCAAGGACCGTGCGCTCGGCTTCATGGAGTACCTCTACCGGAAGCGCAACAAGATCCTCTTCCAAGAAGAAGAGATTGTGACCATGTTGCCGCAGCAGCTGCAAGACGACATCCTCGCCCACTGCAAGCGCGACCGGCTCTCGCAATCGCCACTCTTTGCATCCGTGCCGGACGATGCGCGCACCGCGGTCGCCGCCGCCATGCGCCACAAGTACTATGCGCCCAGCGACGTCTTGGTGACCGCCGGCAAGCACACGGCCGCCATGTTTTTCGTCAAGCCTGGCAGCTGCCAGTACCTCGACCCGGCGATCTCGTCGCGCGAGAGCAAGCGGCTCGGCGCGTTTGGCGCGCGGAGCCTCCTCTTTGATGAGCCGCAAGAGCACTCGATCTGTGCGTGCACGTTCACCGAAGTCTACGTGCTCCGGCAAGCGGGCCTCGAGACGCTCACGGCGTCGTTTCCATACTTGCGCGGGCTCTTGGAGCGTGCGATCGAGAACGAGGTCGAGGTGAACGCCGCTGATGCGACCGACGCACTCTCGATGCACGTCCCGGACGACGACCCGGACGAGCCGACGCTGCCGACGGCGCCTCGGAGTTGGCGCGTGCCCGACTCGCATTTTCGTCGGTTCTGGGACGCGCTTCTGTTCTGGACCACGCTGTATGTGCTCGTGATGCTACCACTGCGCGCGAGCTACCTCGTCGAGACGCGCTTCACGGGCTTGTATGAGCTCACGGCATGGTACCTCGGCGATGTCCTCGCCATCGTGCTCTACGCGCTCGACACGTACTTGAGTTTCGACCAGTTTGTCTACATGGACCACTCCAAGATGATCTTCAACCGCGCGCGGATCCGCGAGAATTACCGTCCGTACCTGGCGCTGGATTTTGTCACGCTCGGCCCGTACTACCTCCTGGCGCTGGTGCTTGGTGTGCCGAGCCTCAAGTTTCTCATGATGCCGCTCTTGCTGCGGGCGAAGCGGTTTCCGCGCTACCTGCGACGGTTCTCGCGCAACTTCCAGTACTACTTTTGTCGGCTCAGCGGCAGCGTGATCCATATTCTGCACTGCATTCTGTACTACGTCGTCATGGTGCACTGGTGGGCGTGCATCTGGATGTTCCTCCACCGGTACGTCGAGGTCCACTCGCCGCTCACGTGGGCGGTCCGGGACCCGTACATGGGCGGCGGCGCGCTCTCGAAATGGAATGCCACGTCCCAGACACACGACATTTGCCGGAGCATGGTCGCGTGCTATGCGCGTACGTAGACACTCTCTCTCACTCACTCGCTCTCTCGCTCTTCTATCTTTTTGTCGGTTTCGGTGGACAGTGCACTGATGCAACTATTGCATAGGGGCCTACTACTTTGTGATCTCGTTTGTCGGGACGATTGGGCTCGGCGACGTGTTCACGGGCGGCCACCTCGAGTACTTCTTCGAAGACATTGAAGCGCTCTTTGGCTCGTTCTTCTTTGCCGCGCTCACGTCGTGCTTTGCCACGTACTTTCAATTCGCCGACACGTACGGAAAGGGCGCGACGCAGGCCAAGCTCAGCGGCCTCAGCAGCTACTTCCGGGCGGCCCACACGACCAAGCCGACCGCGCGCGCGATCGTCGCCAACACCAAGCTCTGGTGCGCGCGCAGCGGCAGCCTCGTCGAGCGGTCGGTCGCCACCTTTCTGCCCATCCCGCTGCGGATCGAGCTCGCGACGCACGTCCAGCGCGCACTCCTCGAGACGTCACCGTTCCTCAAGGCGTCCGACGTCTACGTGCGCCAGAAGCTCGTACTGGCGCTGCACTTCCAAGTCGTGTGCGCCGGCAACACGCTCTACGCGGTCGGCGACCCGATCGATGAGGTTGCGTTCGTGCACAGCGGCGAGCTCACGCTCGTGGAGCCCGTCGTCCGTGGCACTGTGGGCTGCCACGTCGGCGTCGGTGTCCCTGGCGCCTGCCTCCACACGGTCGTCGCGGTCTCGCACCTCGAGCTCTATGTGCTGGACGCCCACGGGAAAGCCGACGTCTTGGAGGCGATAGCGTCCACGCACCGAGAGAGCTTTCTCCAGTCGCTCGACGCCGCGTCGTTGCACCAAACGCTCGCGCATGCGCCGCCCCACGGCCTCTCGCGCCAGCATGCGCTCAACGACGACGGCTTCGACGACGACGATGACGACGACGACGATGCGACTGCCGCAGAGAACGCGGACGAGCCGCCCGCGTGGCTCGCCCTGCCGCAATCGTTCTTCAAGTGACGCGAACAATGTTACTTCGCCATTACCAAAAGATTGCGTGCCACTGACGACGGCGCTCTTAGTGGACTTGTATTACTCACCCTTCTCGGCCCCGCGCTGTCGCAATCGGAGACGGATGGCCACCCAATGCGGGCTGTCATTGACACGCGCCATCGCAATTATATACCGGTAGTCTCGACCTGGGAAGCGCTTCTGCTTGCAAGTGCAAACCCAGCGGGCTACTCGTTGCGTCTTCAACAACTGAAAGTGCAAGAAAGGGCAGCTTCCGACAGTGCCAATAGAAAGGCAAGCGGATTGGGAAAGGTTCAGTTAGGCTCGGCCACCCTCGCACGGTGATTGGCCAATATTAGGAGTGCGATGGACTGTGATTGGGGCTCGCGGAGATATTCCCTGGACTTGCGCGAGACAGACAGAGCCAGCTGTTGCACTCTGCCACTTGCGCCACCATGGTCGAGACGCGCGTCCGGGCCGCGTCCGGGAGCTCGGCCGACGCGCTCAAGGCGTCGCACGAAGGCGCGGCGAAGCGCCGACTGAGCAAGACGGAGATCGACCCGCAGCACGCTCGCCCGGATTCCGACGACATGGGCGACGACGCGGAGGATACCTTTGGCAGCCCGTCGCTCAAGAGCATCTACTCGGTTGCCGCCACATCGTCGACGCGGCCAACGCGCAGCTCGTCCTTTACGGTAGGCAGCCATGGCATCTGTAAAGAGATGCGCTTCATCGCTGCTTCGTGCTAGGACGTCGAGACGGTCTCGCTCAACTGCTCGGCCTTTGGCAAGTTCCGCGACCAGCGCTTCCAGACGCGGCCGGCGTCCAAGATGGCCAACTTTTTCCGCCGGCGATCGCTCTCGAAAGCGAGCAGCTCGGTGGGCCAGCCGACGACGTTTACCGAGAACGACATCCACATGGCCGGGTACCTCTCCAAGCGCGGCTCGTGGCGCAAGAATTGGAAGCAGGTACATCGTCGCTCCTGCTCCGAGATGGTGCGAGCGTGTGTGTGGTAGCGCTACTTTATCTTGCGCATTGACCACCCGAGCTTGTGCTACTGCGACTCGGAGCAAACGCTCGAGCTGGTCGGCCAAGTGCCCATCACACCCAACACGCGCGTCATTGACAACTCGATTGGGTGTCAGAAGGCGCCGTTCTACTTTGAAGTGCACACGCCGCGCCGCGTGCTGTACCTCGGCGCCAGCACCGTGCAGGAGCACCGCAAGTGGATCCGCTCGATCCGCGAGACGGTCGAGCTCGTCCGGTCGCGCGAGCAAGGCGAAAACTACGTGACGCAGTCGTGCGTCGTGCGGCCGTCGCCGACCGACGCTGGACGCCCGACCGCGTCGTCGGTCGTCTCGTACTCGCTGCACCGCGCCGCGTCCTCGCTCCAGGATGACGACCACGAGTCGATCGTCTTGCACAGTAATGACGCGCTCGACGGCCGCTACGACCTCCGGATAGAGCTCATCGTCGACGAAGAGAACGAAGCCGCCGCATTTTATGTGCTTCTTGAATGCCTCGTGGCCGGCGACTGGAAGCCGCTGGGGCAAACCGACGTGTTTCGGTGCTCGGACGACGATGCGATCGACCGCGTGAGCTACCGGCACCCGTTCGCCGTGCTCTTTGAGCTCAAAACCGACAAGGTCACCGAGCTGCGCTTCTCGCTGTTTCGAGCGACGAGTGCGGCCGAAGACGTCTCGTTCAACAAAACGCCCATTGCCATGGCGCAGTCCGAGCTCGCGCTGCTCTTGCCGTATGCGCTCGTGTCGTCCGGAGGCATCGACATTGACCTTGTCTCGCCCAAGATGCTGCGGTCGTCGCTGAGCCAGTCCCGTCGCAACCTCCTGTCTCAAGTACTTGGTCGTCTTCAGTGTACAGCAGTAACATTATTTGGTGATTAGGGTCTCTCGTCGCTGCGCGGGTCGGTCCAGCGCTCGATTGCGGGAGACGACGAGCTCCAAATGTACTTGCACGTGACCGCATACGCGCAAGAACCGAGCGTCACGGTTGGCTTGCCGCAGACGTCGCACGTCGTCGCGCATCAAAAGTACGTGGTGCCAACGGCGACGTCGGCGTTCGGGCTCGTGATTGACGAGACGCTGAGCGTACCCGACGCCACCTTTGCGGTCCCGATCGCGTTCATTCAGTACCTCCAGCGGGAGCTCGCGAAGCGCCTCGCGACCTTGCCTCCGGACAAGGCCCTCTTGCGTGACGCCTATGCGTCGATGACCTCGGACTATGACGAGCTCCTGACGTTCCTCCTCGGAGCTGCCAAGGCCCACGGCTTTCGCAAGAGCACGCTCAAGAAGCACCACGAGTGGCAGTGGGTCGCGACGAACCTGCACCTGCAGGCCATGCACGTGCACAACGGCTTGGAGCGCGTCGGCGTCTACACGACGCTGACCATGGGGGCGCCGGCTGCCCACAGCCGCGGGTTCGCCAATGGTGGCAGCGCCCGGCTGCTCCGTGCGTTGCACGACGGCCTCCGAGATGCAAATGCGACGCAGAAGCGCAAGATGCGCAGCCACGTCCCGATCACGAGCTTTGATTTGCTCTCGATGCCGGCGTCGTTATGTCCGCCACGCGAGACGTCGGTGAAAGCCTACTGCCCGCTCACCACCACGTGCAAGGCGTGGGTTGATGTCGAGATGCGCATGCATGCCGTGTGCGCGCAGATCCTCTCGGCGGTCGTCGCCCACATCGAAGCGCTTCTGGAACTCGCTATGAACGGATCGGCGTACCACCGGCGCGCGCTCGTGACGGTCGAAGACGTCGGGTTGCTGCTCAATTTCGAGTCGCTTCTCTCGACGCATGGCAACGAAGCCGGTATGCTCGAGGACTTTCAAGCCGCTTGCATGTGGCTCGACCGCGCTTCCTTTGTGTTTGACCCGGCCGTGCCGACGGTTGCGTTTGAGACAGCCGCCAACGGCGACGTCGGTGTCCGTCTCCGCCTTCCGATGCACTTGTCGTCGGCGTTGCCGCCGCGGCTCCTCTCGGGGCAGGCATTCCGCGTCATTGCCGTCCTGTTCACCCAAGGCATCAACGAGATGCAGTCGCTCGCGCATGCGATGCGCAGCGCGACGACGCAGACGCAAGACGAGATCAACCACGAGAGCTACCTCCGGCTCAAGCGGCACTACGTGGCGTTCAAGACCGCGGGGCTCGGCGGCGACGTCGCGGCCCTCGAGAGCCTCTGGCGCACGATCGAGGCGAGCGTCTTACACCCGATGGCGCACAAGAAGAACGTTGGGCTGCTTGTCGCGACGTCTGAATTTTGCCGGTCGATTGGCGGCGGCCGCACCACGTGCTGCAAGAGTGGGAAAGATCGCACCGCCATGTCGGTCACGCTCGAGCAAGCGCGGATTCTGACCAACGAGTGGAAGGTACCATGCCTCACAAGCAGCAAGAGGAGACGGATGTTGATATTGTAGGCGATCAACGGGCGCCTTGTGTGTGAGACGATGCGGCTCTGCGGCGTGCGCCGCACCAATGTCTTTATGAACATCCAGTCGGAAAAGTTCGCGTTCAACGAGCTCCAGCGGAAATTGCTGCCCGACTGCTACAAACCGCCCATGGGCACCTATAAATCGGGCCGCACCTAGTCGTGTCCGTCGACTGCTGTACCTCGCGTTGCTTCGATTCATCGTTTAAAGTTTGGAGTGTCTGTCTCGTCTTCGCGTTGTACAACGCACAAAAGGGCTAGGGAACCTAACCCTACATCCTCTCCTGGAGCGGGAGGCGGCGGCGAGTCTTCCTCGGCAACCAACATGCAAGGTAGCTGAATGTCGGTCGGGCGCCGCCTTGAACGTGGACCGAGCGTTCACCGCGGTTGGCGCGTCGACGCGAGTGTGGTCGCCGGCTTGCTCGTGTCGCCCACGTGGATTGAAGTTTAACAACATCTCGACGCCATCTAGCAAATACTACTGTGTACATATCGTCTGTATTTGATGTGAGAAAGCCCAAGGAGCTACATTTATGCGTGGTCGAGGTGCGCGAGCTGTGCGTCACGCGCCCAGGCGACTTGGGACCGCGGCTTCATGGCAAACATGCCCGAGTTGCGCAGCCATTGGATCATGTCGGGGGTGAGTACGGTCGGCACGTGCAGCAGCTTGGCGGGCAGCGACGCGTCATCGTCAGCGTTGTTTTCAACCGGAGTCGTCGCCTCGGCCGCCTTGGCTTCTTGTGGGGGTGACATGGATGGCTTGGGCAGCGGGTTGGGACGTGGTGCACGGGGCGGTGCTGCGACAGCCGGCTCGTCACTGCTCATGCTGCTACTCGAGTGATTGCTTTGGGCGCGGTGGCAAGGCGCGACCATGGCTCGCGCCGGCAACCGGGCGTGCGACACGGGCTGGAGCTTGGCCAGCTCGGCGAGGCTCGTCGCCCGCTCGATGGCCGAGTCGTATTGCAGCACGAAGAACGGATCGACACTGGGCGTGCCCGTCCACGTGGCGTGCGACGTCTTCCTACGTCATGACTTGTTTGCCGACAGCCGTACGCGGGCGCAAACACCGTACCACGTGCGTTTGGGGCGCCGCCGCTTGCGTCGCTTGAGCTGCTTTGGGCCAGGAATCTTGATGCGCGGGTACAGGATCGTCTCACTCGGCGCTTCGGGCGTCGCGGCGGGCGGCGATGCAGGCGGCGGGGCCTCTGCTTCTTCATTGTCGCTCAAGTTGAGGTGCGCGAGCGCCGAGACCATGGCCATGAAGCGCTGACCATGGGTCGAGGCAAGGAGTGTGGCCGGCGGGGCGGCGCACGCGTCGGCTCTGCCACCCGCGCCCGCGCCGCGTCGCCAACGAGCCCAAACGACGGCGGCGCCGCCTCGACAAAGCGGACCTTCGGCATGTGCAACGTTAAATCGCTTGCAAATTGAAACGGCCATGTCGCTGCAAGCGTCGTGCCTTCTGGCATTGGCTGACCTGTTGACCAGCGGTGCGACCGACGTCGACGCATACGCAGCTGCCACGTCATCCTTGTACGCATTTACCGAGCACTTGAGCATCCGTGTTGCAAGCGTCGTTGTCGTAGGCCTGTGCACTTGCGTCATGGGCTCTGGTGCCTCCTCAAGGCCAAAGACACGTGTTCACGCACCGTGCTTGCCGCCGTCTTGAGCGATGAGTTCGAAGACGTGCATGTGACCGGCTACCGAGGCGACCTCGCCGCGTTCATTGACGCATGGCGTGATGCGAACGTCGGCTGCAGCGTAGCGACACTGACGCTGTCGAGCCTCCCGTGGTCAGATGGGGACTTGTATGTGCTCCTCGACGCACTGCCGCAGCTTCGCCTTTTGGACACTGCCTACGTCAACGCCCTCCACGACGAGCATGTGCGCAGTGTTGTGGCGTCTGCGCCGACGCTCTGCGAGCTGCGCTTGAGCTGGTGCCCTCTTCTGACCGACGCCGCCCTCGGACATATCGTCGCGCATGTATCGCAGACCCTCCAAGTGCTCTTCATTCCTGGCACAGCCGTCACGACGCACGGTACACGGCCTCGTTGGCACGACATATGTCACGAAGGCGTAGGCGTCTTGGCGTTGGCTGCGTGCAAGCAACTGCAACAGCTCAACCTACAAGGTACCGACGGGGCAGTGATACGTCTCGTCGCCACGACGTGTAGCCTGCGATCGCGTGCATGGCTTGCCGCTGGGGCTTGGGCGCCTCACGCACCTCGACGTGCGAGGTCTGAGCTGCGTTCCGACCGAAACACTGATGGCCGTCTTGAAGCGTACTATGACCTCATTTCTACGACGCTTTCAACCATCGGAGTAGCGATTTGGCCGCAGCTGCGCCACGTGAGTCTCGGCGAGAGCAGTTTGAGTGCGTCGGCATGGACGCAGCTCGTGGCCGCGACGCGCACTCGTCATGACCATATCACGGTGCAATTCGGCACCCCGTCGCATGTCTCATAGCGTCTAGCAACTCGATCTTTCGTGGTGCTTTCAGCTCGACGCCAAGGCACTTGCACTCAGTTTACCCGCGTTCTCCCAGCTACACGTGCTCAAGTTGCGCTGCTTGGACCTCGACGACGATGTCCTCTTCGCCATTGGTAGGCCCCTCGTTGCGGTCGAGAGGCTCCACCACTGGTAGCAACGACGTGTTCAAACCTACGCAAGCTCAACCTCGCGCGGTGCCGCAACATGACGGACGACGGGCTCCAGTGCATAGCAAGCCGCTGCTCGCAGCTCCAAGTTGTCGACTTGTCGTGGTCGATAGTGTCGGACGCGACGGTGCACACGATGCTTTCCCACTCGAAATTCTTGCAGCGTCTAAGTCTCCAAGGCTGCAAAGCTCTTCACGGTGCATTCCTCGATGCGATGTGCGCCGACAAAATCGCTCAGCGCTTGACGCACCTCGACCTCTCGTGGGTCAACGGCGTTGCTACCGAGAGGGTGCAGGCCCTCTTGCCGCAGCTGCCGGCGCTCGAAGTTCTCGGGTACTATGGCGAGCGCATTTTGCACTAAGTCGCACTAAGCTTTAATACACAAGCTTTAATACACACTACTAGTACGAGACTCGGAATCGGAGGAGCGCACGGATGACGCGGCCAACTGCGAGCCGCACCGCGTGCACTTTTCCAAGTCCAAGATGATGTACCAGTTGAGCACGATTGTCCCGCTCACCAAGGAAGACGGTGGTACCGTTCGGTAGTAATCCAGGATAGCACGCGAACACTTCACTCGGTTGACCTCGTCTGCTTAGGCTCGAGGTGCAAGGTTATTTAACGCAGAGTAGGCTACAGAGAGTCCTTGTGTCGTTTTCCGAATCTGCGCGCTCGTAAGGTTTCTTAGAAGCTGGCCAGGGACCGACCACCCAGTGCTGGATGAGCACCTCCCATGTGCCCATGCGAATCTTCTCGCTGTCGCCCGCTCGGCCGTCACCGATAGAAACATCAGACGGCGTGCGCGCGTATTCGTGTTGTTCGCAGTGCATGCGTATTCGTGTTGTTCGCAGTGCATACTAGTACGCTTTACGAACATTATCTCTATAGCGTTCGCTTGGCAAGGTCGCTAAGCGTCTCGAACGACTTGGAGTCGGCGAGTTTGCCGTCCATGGCCGCGAGGCAGATCGCAAAGGCTTGGGTGGCCGAGAGCGGGTGCTTAAAGTCGAGCGTAAAGACGTTTTTGTGGCACGAACACTGGTCGTTCGGGCCGGGGGGCTGGCACGAGACGCGGCCAAACTGCAGCGTCACGTCGTCGTCGTCGCCGTGTCCCTACGCCTCGTAGCTTTGAGAAACGATCACGGCAAGGCCAACGTACGTCGCATTGGAGCTGGAAATTCTTGACCGACGACATGGTGACGCGGCCGTTAAAGTTGAGGACGTGGCCGCGCGCCTTCTCGTCGTACTTGGGTCGCTACAGACGCGCGCGTCAGGTATCGAAAGTGACGTTGTGCACCTTGTTGCGCAGCGGGATGTGGTTGCCATCCTTGTAGAATTCCGTGTTTTGGTACGGCCCCGACTTTTTCTCGTCCATCGACTTGTCACGCACGACGACGACGGGGGCGCCAGCCTCGTTGACTGTTGGGATCGCAATCTGCCAAGGGATGTCCATCGGCGACCTGGAAGCGTTGAGAACGTACAGCCATTTTGCCTGGCCCCATCTTGTCGTACTGGAAATCCAAGACGCCAAGCACGGTGCGCACACTCGACTCGATTGCAGTTGCGCCGGGCTTCATGCCATGGTTGAACACAATGTATTGGGAGCCACTCTAGAGCCAACACATTGATGAGGCCGTCGCGAGGTGGTCGTCCAACCCAGTTGGAGCGCAGCTTGCCAACAATGAGCCCACTGCGGCGGTCCGTGGGCGACCGATCCATCGAGAGGAGGTAGTTGGAGGTTGTGTTCTTGACGCGTTTCTGACAGAAAGGATTGTACCCTCTAGTATGCACATCGAGACGACCGTACTTGTGCGCCGAGTAAGAACTGCTTGTTCTCTTCGAGGAACAAGCGGTACACGGGCCGGAGCAGGTTCGTGCCGCTCTTGTCCCGCTCCACGTAGCACTATCGCCATATCCTACCAGAGATCGATCCACGTCCAAGGACGTACTTGAACGCTCGCCGAGCCTTTCGTGGGCGCGCGCATCACAAACTGCCGAAGGGCGTTGAGATCCATGCTGATCGCGGGCACTGACAATGGCGGTGACACGTGGTCGAATCTACAGCCAGTGGGTCTCTGCCTCTAGTATATTAGAGTCGCTCGCGTACTGCTCCTTGGCGTCCGCCGCGTGCCGAACGCGAGCTACAAACGCACTGGCAACCCAAGTTCAGGAGACGCCACGCGTACCCATCGTATCGTCGTCCGAGTCGTCGTCATCGTCGTCGTCGGCGCTGGCTTTTTGCGGCCGCCCTTGCGCACATAGAGGGCCGCGCCCTTGGCTTGGGCCGCTTCGTTGTCGTCGTTGTCCGAGCTGGCACCGATCTCGTCCATCATGGCATCAAATTTGGACTTGGGTGGCGCCGTCTCGTCGGTCCAGCCACGACGCGTGCCCCACTTTTCTTCGGCCATCGCACCGCGCTGGTTCATGGATGCTCGCTCGCTTTGGGGCGTTATCGACCCGTTTTAGCTCAGTGTATTCCCGGCACCCCGACCCCTTGCCCCCCAAACTTTTGATTGATTAGCCGCCCACGGCGATGTGTCTGCCAGTGTCTCTTGTCGATGCCACACACGACATTCTGCTCCGCATTAGCGCTATATTTTAGACACGTTTCCTTCTACTCGACGAGTGATGTCTTGGACTTGGTCTTTCGCGGTTTGTGGAACGACGGCGTACTCGGGGGGGACTGCACTGCCGGTGGCAGGCGCACGACCTCCTTGCGCGGCGGCTTGGGCTTGATGGGCGACTTGTTGGCGCTGCGCTCGCAGAACGGGTGTTTTCTCGGGTCAAGGTACGATATCCCGTTGTTGATGCTCTTGTCGTAGCTGTACGTTTTCGCCGGGTGGACGACCTACAGCTTCTCTCCGTCCTCGACGTGACGATGGGATTAACGTACGGGCACGAATTTGTCTTGTGTAAAGTTCATGGCCTTTTGGTACCGCTTGTCGCGCTCGTCGTAGACGCGGTCAATGTTGTACTTGGACGACGCCTGGATCGAGGTGCGCACAGCCGGCGGCTGGGGCTTGAGCTGCTGCTTGGTGAGCAGCTTCTTCGGGACCGTCGAGAGCAAGTTGAGTGTGTTGGTGCGAATGTGCGTCTCGACGGGAACGCCAAACGCAGTGGGCTAGACGCACCCCGTCGCTGTCTGAGCAACACAAACAGATGATAGAAAGATGCGTCTACCCGTGCTTGGGCAAACGGTGAGCTATAGACACCGGGCGTCACGGTCGTGCCCACGAGGTGGTGCAAATTCTGTGTGATCTTGACGAGCTCGTCGCGCGACTCTTCCTCGACGCGGACAAGCTCCAGCTGCGCGGGTGTGAGTCGCAGAGTAGCCACGGGTACGTACCGCGCGCTGCTCGTCCAGTCGCTTCTGCACTGTCGCGCGGAGCGCATTGCCTTTGGCTTCGAGCTCGCGGAGATACGTCTTGCGCGTCGCAAAGTTGTGCACGTGCTGTCGCGAGTAGTAGCCTACGCCACGGTGTGTTGCCATTGCTTGTGCGCAACCGACCTCGGTAGCGCGTCTGGATGAGGCGGGCGAGGTGGTGGAAGCGCGCTTGCTTCTCGAGATGTCTCCTTCGCCGGCGGGCTTTCTGCGCCTTGTGCCGGCCCAAGTGCCCGCGGAAAACTCGCGCGATGAGAATCTCGGCCGTCCTAGCACCACAATACATACCTGTACGTAGTGGGAAACGCTGCTACCGCATGCGGCTGATGCTCGCGCGGACGCGCTGCCCGCGGAAGATGCGCTGTATGCAGATGGCCGCCGCAAGCTCCGTGGCCGCGTTCGCAACCGCGTCCCTGCAGTCGTCGTTCATGAGTTGGCATGCTTGCAGATAGCAAGGTACCGCTGGGCGTCGGCGAGGAGCGCGAGCGTCGTGGCCCGCGCCGCCCAGCACGCGAAGAAGTCGGCCATCGGGCGTTGGGAAACGACCTCCGGTCGGCGACGCTGCGTTGTATTTTTAGGTCCACGAGCTTCGACAGGCAGCAGCATTTGTGTCAACCAAATGGAAGCGACCGTCGGCGCCAAACGACGCAGCTTTCTCGAGCGGTGCCACGCTGTGGGTCGGTGGATCGTGCTGCCCAGTGTTGAATTGGTGCCCTCGTCCATGGGCGGTCGAGCAAAGACAGCAAGTGATGAACGTCACAACACGGGTGGTAGCATTATGCAGCTTAGAGGTTTTACATCGAGTGCATCTTGAGCTCGAGCTTGAAGAAGGCGACAAGAACGCGAGCGCACTCAAGATACCGCCGACGAGCACCGGGAGCGCGTAGCCCATCGGCGACTTGACGAGGATCGACGAGAAGATAAAGTTGAGGAACTGGCCGAGGCAGTTGGCCGAGTTGAAGGCGCCGGCAAACAACCCGAGGTTGTTGTTGGCGCCGAGGCCAATGACGTGGATGATCGTCGGCATCACCAGCGACGAGAGCGCGCTCTGCGTCGCGCAGCACATGACGATGATGAGCATGTCGAGCCACACGATCTTGGAGAACGCCATCGCAATCAGCAGCGTCTGCGGGATGATCGCGTACGTGAGCACGCGCTTGGCGCCAAACTTGCGCACGAGGAGCGGCAGGATCGCGAGGAAGAGCAGCGAGACGCAGTTGAGAATCGTATCGGTCGTGCCACTCGCGAGGCGGACGCCGTCGTTGAAGTTTTGCTGCGCTTCCGTGCACGGCGGGAGGTCGTCGTGGCCGCACTTGTCCGCGCCCTCGGACGACCCGCCCTTGACGACGATGCCAAAGAACTGGCCCTTCGCGCCCGTGTACGCGGTCCAGCCGTACTGAATGAGCACAAACATGACGGCGTAGACCTTGAGGAGGCTCGGGAGGAGCTTGATGCCGGTCCAGACGGCCGAGAACGCCGCGCGGATCTCGTCCTTCTTGTTGACGGCGACTGCGGGGACGTACGGCGTCTCCTTGACGAAGAAGCAGACCGACATGGTCGTCACGAGCATGATCACGATGAGCATCGCCATGAAGGGCTTGATCGACTCGTGGGCAGCGCCGAAAAAGAGAATGTAGCCCGAGACCGCAAACGAGCCCGCGATCGAGTAGGCGCCACCGATCGAGGCGGCGGTGACTTGGCGATCGCCGGCAAAGTCGGCGATGATGAGACCCGCGGGGACTTGCGTGACGTTGCACGTAATGTCCATCCAAATGTAGCAAATCACCGTGAAGAACGTCGTCCACTTGCGCGAGACGGGGAGGTTCTTGGCGTAGTGCTCGGTGAGCTGCGACGACTTGGTGTCGCCGAGCGCCTCGCCAATGTCGACCGTGTGCATCATGATGAGCCAGCAGAGGGCGCTCGTGACCGCACCCCAAAAGAGGTACGGGCGACGACGGCCGTACTTGGACGTGCAGTTGTCGCTGAGGACACCGACAGTGGGGGCGACGAGGAGACCAGTGGTCGGTCCCACCAGCTGGACGACTTGGACCCACGACGAGTCGAGAAGAATTTCAAGGAGCGGGCCGAGCGCGGCCCACTGCGCCGCCCACGCCATGTTCATGGCCATCTTGGGCGCGCAGAGAAGCACCATGAAGAGGATCGAGCAGCCTTCGACGGGCGCGGCCGCGGTCTCTTCGCCGGCTTGCTTTTCGACGTCATAAATGTCCTTGGGCGTGGTCACGACTTCGTAGTCGGTCGCGGCCTTCGTATCGGCCATGGCGGTTTAGGATCGAATTGGAAAATGAATCCGTCGTGCTCGCTCACTGCAAGGAGCCCCAAGAAGAGAGAAAGGACAGAAAGACAGCCTCTAGGATTGACAGAAGCGCGCGAATAGAAAAGATCGTTGCCTGCGTGACTTGGTGTGCGGAGCGTTGTCGCCACCCAGGTCAACTAGGTGCCTGCAAGGCCGAGTTCAACGTAGGAACGATTGCATGCTGTGCAGCGCAAGTCGCCAACGGAATCCTTGATTTAGTAATCGCTTCGCCTCGGACCTCGGAAAAGGAGGTTGCTTGTACAGGCGCAGACAGGCGCGGGCGCGCTTCTATAGCGCAAATGCAAGCCCACGATGGTCCTTACAGGAACACTTCAAGCGTGGCGCGCCGCCATCACGTCACGCGCTGGGAAGGAGACCAATCACGATCAAAGATACGCCTCGGCCCATCAACGTTCGGGGTGCAGTGCATCGATTGATGCAAACATATGGCGCCAAGATCCTGTCTCGCGACAAACGGCAACTTCAAGTTGAAATTTCAGGAGGTTTCCGGTCCATCGAAAAGGCAGCACCATCGCCACCTACCTGCCAGAAGAGGCTGGTGACGACGGGCTCTTCCATCCTGTGTTTCAAGTGATGAGGTAAAGGAAGAGAATGCGACCCGACTGGGACATGGGTATTGTTCCGTTTTGCCTCAAGCAACGCCTGTCGACCGAGTCGGCAGTCACGGGTGCGAGCACTGCGTCGGCAATAGACACGTTATCGATGTGGACTCAACCAGCGCACGGGTTTCTAGGTGCGACCCAGGAGAGATAACTAGGTGCGACCCAGGAGAGATAACGCCATCGCTCCATGGTGTACTCGAGCACACATGGATCGGTGAGCACTCTAGACCAATGTAGTGGGGCTGCCGAGGGTGAGGTGCGCTCCATATTCGCCTTTGCCCGCCCGGTCGTTTCTCGCTGGTAGGTGTTGACATGACCAGCTGGCCTTGGACCAGATTTGGTGTCGCTCACATTTTCTGGTCTCTTGACTTGTGGTACTGGGTACTTATATCTAGCGCAACCTGCAGACGCAACAACGAGCTAGCGTGAGACGAGGTGTATTCAAACGAATGGCTGGTCGACGCCAGCCCCGTCGATGGCGGCCAGCGCTAGCGATCCGCCCGCGTCACGAGGACGCCGACGCTACTCCGGCGCCATCACGTCTGCCGAGAGAGCTCACTGCGAGAGCAAGAATGCAACGATTTGACCGCCGTCGCCTCCGCGACATGTCGTGGGTATATTCCCAACGGTTTATCGCAGAAGATCTCGCGTGTCGAGGTCGACCGCGACTTGATCGTGGTGCTCGATCGCGCTTCTATTGCCGCGCAAAAGCCTTCCAACGCCGGCATGCCCGTTCGCAGCGGCTTCTTCGACGGCATGGACGGTAACAGGCGCGCCGGCGCTCCGCAGTCGCACGATCAACGCGGTTTCCGCAGCCGCCGCGTGGACGACGCGTGCGCATTGCGTCTCGACGTGCGCCTCGTAGAGGTACGCTATGCTTTCGGCGCACGCGTCTTTGATGGCAGCGATCATCGCGCCAATGGCCCAGTGCTCGCCGAGCAGACTCGTAGCATAGTAGGCGCTCAGAGCTTGGAGCTGCGCACTGTCGTTGCGCTGCGCCACGATAGCTGGCAGCTCGTGGCGCCAGCCGTGTCGACGAACCGCGCGCCCGCGCTGCATCAAGATCGCGCGGTGCTGTAAGAGATGCGAGGCGATGAGCGAGAGGTTGTAGAAGACCGCCATGTCGATCGCATTGTCCGAGAAGAGGTCGGCGCACGCGAGGATGCGCTCAACCGCAGCCGCGTCGCCCTCGTAGATGGCCAAGTGCAAGACAAAGCGGGCTTCACGGTCCGTCTCGGAGAAGAGGAAGAGCTCGCGCACGCTGAGCGTCGAGACGCTACTCGTCGGCTGCGTGAGCCGGCTCGCGACGTGGCGGCAGAGGTGGTACCGGCCGTCGGTGGCCGCGTCAAAGCCGACGGCCGTCGCAAACTCGACAAACCGGCTGCGCACGCACTCGTAGACGCCACGCTGGTAGCCAAAGACGAGCGCAGCGATCGGCGGCAGCCCGAGCACCGTCGAGGCGAAGGACGCCATGCTGGTCAGTTTGAGAAACGGCGGCGCGTGATTGGTGCGGGTGATCAAGGGATGCGCTGTGATTGGCGGAAACATCTCGACAGCTGGCGTTGTCTGTTGTGCATTGGTGGACAACCTGTGCCTCCCGTGCTATCCATGACGCATTCGCCGCGAAATGCAAGTTGCTACAGTATCACCCCTGCGGCCCTAGCTCCTCCTGCAACGCCAGGTCGCCCGTTCTCTGTACCAAGTCCGCGTACGAGTTGCACGAGATGGGCAGCGTTGGTTAGAGCGCGCTTTATTCGACGATTCCTGCCTACAAGTTGATACCTCGATACGAAAGCAACGCTCGGCAACAGGTTGCCGCTTATAGTTCGTCCTTGCCAAGGCCGAGTTCGGCCATGATGTCGTCGTCGTCGTCGTCCGCAAAGCTCTCCAATGTCGCGTCTTGGCCGTCCCAGCCGGTCGTCTTGGCGATCTGGGGCAACGTCTCGTACGGGAACGTCGACTGGCGACCGGAGAAGATGCCCTCCAAGTAGGACGCAATCGAGGTCGAGTCGAAGGCCGCGTGCATGACCGAGTAGCGCTGCTTGTCCAAGTTGATGGCGAGGACCGACGGGTACCCAAACGTGAGCCCGAACGCCTCTTCGAGCGCCGCTTGGTTGCCGCCTTGGACCCACGCAAAGCGGAACGGCTTGCCGCGCACGAGCTTGGCCGCGCTTTCGACTTGCGCCAAGTAGGCCTCGCGACCGGCCTTGCCGCCGTCGATAATGTGCGGGAGGAGCGCGAGCACGCAGATGGCCTTGCCCGCGCAGTGGTCCAAGAGCACCTTTTCCGACGTGACTTCCGGCAGCTTCATGCCGCCGCCGAGCGTCTCGAGCTTCTGCAGCGCATACGCCGTGATGCCACTGGCCTGGCGCGGGCCTTGGTAGTCGGTCGCGTCCGAGGCCGACGCCGCATTCGGGCCAAACACCTTGATCGTGGGGAAGCCTTTGATGCCGTACTCGGCCGCCTTGGCTTCGTGGGCCGTTGCGTCGAGCGCACCAAGCTTGACTGAGCCGCGGAGCTCGGACGCTGCCTGCTCCCACTCGGGCGCGAGCGACTTGCAGTGACCGCACCACGGCGCATAAAAACTCGACAAGCCACACGTCGCCGCTGTTCAAGACGAGCTCGTCAAACGTATCATCCGTGAGCGTGACAACGTCCGAGGACGACGACGACGACGGCTTGGCCTTGGCCTTCTCGGCCTTGGGCTTCTTCTCAGTCTTGGTCTTCTCCGCCTTGCCCGAGAGACGGGCCTTGGCGAGCTTCGACGCTTCGCGAACACCTGCGTCGACAATGGCCTTGGCCGAGCGCTCGCCTTGGTAGTCGACCGGCGCGCGCTTGTTGTCGCCAAAGATCTTGATTGTCGGGAAACCCTGGACGCCAAACTGGCCGGCGAGGCTCTTGTGCTCGTCGCAGTCGACGGCGGCGACGTTGACGATGCCATCAAGCGCCTTCGCCGCCTTCTTCCACTCGGGCGCGAGGCTCTTGCAGTGGCCACACCACGGCGCGTAAAACTCGACGAGCCAGACGCCCTTGCCTTCCTACGCGCATGCATCGTCGTCCATGGGTCATGGGAGCAGGCGCGAACGTACGATGACTTCCTTCTGGAAGGACTTGGGGTCAAGATTCTTGACGGCGCCCGCCGACGTGTAGAAGCTCGAGCCCGCGAGGCTCAGCGCGCACGTGGCAGCGAGGACGACCAAGGTCAGGAGCTTCGTCGCCATTTTCCAAAATACCGTCTTGGGCGACCCGTGATCGCACCGGTAGCCACGACGCAGGATGCCATTGGTCAAAATGCACTGGATTTCCATGTTTCAACCAATGGGCGCGGTCTGTCGCCGCACGCGGCTAAAAACACCCCACTTTCTAGAAGCTCCGATCTTCCCTTGTTGGATCCAAGTTACCGTTGGAGCTTGAACCGATTTTGTCAAGGAATGCTGGAACGGAGCATGTCGTCGCATGCCACATGCGTGCGTCCGATGAATTCCACCGAAAAAAGTACGATGGGACCCCTCAATCCTGAACTGGTTTTCAGGAAAGCCACTTATTTTTTGACTTGCACTGAGTATGAGCAAGGACTCCACAGACGACGAAGGCATTTCGCTTCACCGTGGCCTCGGACGTCATGCTTGTGAGCCCACTTGCCACACAACTGTCCGTGCCACACGACTGTCCTTACGGCCAGACCGCAAAGCGCTGGGAAGAGTCCGCCGAGCACATGTGTGTGATCCACGGTGACCTCCTCACGGTCATCAGGCGCCGCCGGCGCTTTGACGACCTTAGGACGGCCCTAGAGAACGATCGAGAGGCACGACGAGGTGTTGGGCGAGAATCGCGACGAGAGGGAATGCGAACAGGGCGTCGTCCATGACCGGTCCAAAGCGAAAAACTTCTGCACGTTTGCAAAAACATCCGAACGCGCCACTTTTCATCATTGAGTTTTCTGGAATGTCGCGCGCCGAACAATCCTGAATTCCACCCTTGCAAAAATCGCTCTACCGGTATAGTCAGGACTAGTTCTGATAGTACGATCCAACCCTGAACGGGTTTTCGGGAAAGCCATTGTTTTTTGACTTGCACTGAGTATGACCAAGGAGGCGCCACCGACGACGAAGAAGGCCTTTCGCTTCACGGTGTCGTCGTGTGGGCTCACGAGCTTGGCCTCTTTGAGGAGATCAACGTCCGGGCCACACTCGGACGTTGATCTCCTCAAAGAGGCCAAGCTCGTGAGCCCACACGACTGTCCGCACGGCCAGACCGCAAAGCGCTGGGAAGAGGTCGCCGAGCACATGCGTGCGATCCACGGTGACCTCGTCAGCATCGTCGGGTGCCGCCGGCGCTTTGACGACCTTCTGACGGCCTTCAAGAACGACACTGTCAACGCACTGCGCGCCTCGGGTACCGAGGAGGACGTCAAGAAGCGCGACGAGCTACTCCACGACATCGCGGACCTGGTGCGTCGTTCTTGCCCTGGCGCGCACTTACAGGTCCATGTAGATGGACGTCCGAGCGAAGAAGAAGAAGGGGGCAAAGGAAGACAAGGTTGAGAGCGACGGTCATCGCATGCGTGCGGCAGCGCTCAAGCGCAAGACGACCGACGGCGACGACCCGGAAGAAGGCGAGAGCGCGGAGTCCAAGAAGAATAGGAACGAAGGCTTCGGCTCGATCAAGGACGTGGCGTCTGTTGTCGCCGACTTTACATCTATGATGGAGTCTTTCAACAAGCTCAGGGAAGCCGAAATCTCTGCGAAGAAGGAGGAACTCGCAGTGGCCCATCGTCGACTTGAGCTTGATCAGCAACGGTTCCTGCTTGAAAAGCAGAGCGCGAAGCACGGTTCCAGTTGGAGCGATGGGAGCGGGAGATCCAGCTTGAATCCATGCGTAGCAATATCGAATTGATGCGCTCTCTCAAAAACAAGCTCTAAGCCAACGCGATCAATTCTTAGTCGATACAGGAGTCGTCGACGCTCCTAGACCGTCTTGTGGAGTCCTCGGCCGCCGTGGCGGACCAACGTGGCTCGACACTTGGTCTCCTTGCTTCACACAAGTACGGGTCTTGGGCAGCAGTACGGCAACAGTGTAGTTGGTGCACACACTACTGCCAAAGCGTCGGCCCACCTTGGACTGAAGCAATCATGGTGGCGTTATATGATGAGGTACCGCGTCCGTGCGATTAGCATAACTACATGTGGATTCCTCAAGTTGAATCTACTACTGGTCGATGGACTTGCTTGGCTCGTCCTCGGCTCCTCGGTGGCGTTTCCGCAGTCGGGTGTCGACTGGTGTCAGTACTTCGCAGAGCATCGAGAGCAGGTCTTCGTCCGGCACGAGGCGATTCCACGTGTCAATTTGATAGTCTTCGTCGCCTTCGTTGTCCGTCGACCGCAGCGTCGTGGCTGGAATCGCGCCGACAACCCCGAGCAGCTCGATGGTTCGGGGTCGCAGCGCAGGACACAGCTCGTCGTTTTGGCGCGTGCTGCACTTGGCGCAGAGGCATGCTATCGTCAGCGCCACTCGCAGCGCCGTGACGTGGTCGGTGTCGGGCGACAGCGGTGCCTTGGGCAGCCCGAGCATCGCCAGGGTCGAGGCCACCACGAGCCGGCGCATTGCATCATCGAGCACATCGAGTTTTGAGAGCTTCGCGAGCAGCGGCGCCAGTAGCTGTTGCTGCAGGCTCTTTGGTCGTCCGAGGAGGCCCGACACGATGGCTTTGGCCAGCGATAAGCTCTTCTCCGGTGCCCACGTGAGCGTAAACTCCAATGCCTTGCACGCGAACGCGACGCGTCGGCCGTTGCAGCCCTCGTCGCCACCCGTCGATCCGATGGAATTCGGTGGGAACGAGTAGCGGGTCGTCTCCAAGAGCACGCTGGGTGCCCGCAGCACCATCGCGGTCAGCGCTGCACGGACGTCATTGCGCCATGTGTATGGACTCGTGACCTCTGCCACCGCGCAGATGGCGGCAATGATTACGTCCCCCGACGCTAGCCACAGCGGCGCGTCGTCTACAATGTCACCGAGACGGTCCGGACAGTCGGTGACGACAAGAAGCAAGCGGCCCGTCATCGATCGAAGGGAGGCGGTGCGTCGACTGCAGCGCGTCTTGTCAAACAACAGCTTAGCGTACGGTGCGAGTGGTATGCGCGGGTCGTGCCGGCGGGCAAAGGCGAGTGCGGGGGCCAGCACGGACGCGCCTGGCATGCGTCCTCTCATCACGAACTCCACCAGGTCCCGCGGCAGCAGAAACGAGTGGACGTGGACGACAAGCGGTGCCGGTAGCTTCGCCGCCAGAGGCTGGCGCTCGGCGACGTCGAGCGATGTCAAGTGCGACTGCAAGAGCAATGCGTGCTGGAGCAGCGTCATGTCTCTGTCCCCGTCCCGGTTGCCGTTCAAATCGGGCACCTTGGCGTCGACGAGCGCCACAAAACACTGCGAGACGAGCTCGATCGGATGCGACAGCACCGGGCAGACCGGGTCCTCGCTGCGGCCGAGTAGACTGGCGAGCCATATGTACGGCAGGTCGGACGAGGCATGTCGTCTGCAAAAGTGCTGCAGCGCCAGCGACAGCGTCGTCCAGCCGTAGCGTTCGCCGCAGTGGTATAACAGTGGTCCCATTGTCTTCGCTGTCATCCGCGCGTGCACTTCGCATTGCGAGGCGCGGTGCAGAAAGGTCGCGACCAAGTTTGCGTCGTTTAGCTGCAGCAAGAGACGGAGGAGCCGCGTGGTGTACGGCGTGTGGGCGTCGTTCTCGGCACTGCAGACGCGGCAACGGATGGCGTGGCCAACGTCGGCCTCGGCGCTGACCATCTCGAGGACTGCGTGGGCCATCGCGGTGGCGTCCGTGTACCCTTTCATGTCACTCGGCTCGCCCGCGATCGCACACCCGAGGTCAAAGAGCGCGATCTGGTGCCGATAGAGCCGCAAGCGATGCGTCTTGGGCCAAAAGACCAGCGCGAACGGTCCATGGGCAAACTTGGTATGGATCCAGCCGTCCACGTCGGCCCACAGCACGTCGCCTTGCATGTGCGTCGGCATGGTCGTGCCGGATGGAAACACCGCCTTGTCCACGTACCAGCTCTGCACGCCGTCCATGGCGCAGCGGGTGCGGTGCGCCGTGACGGACACGAGTGCAACGTCGAACGCGCCCGAGTCCTCAAGCGCGTCGAGAATGGCTGCGTCGACGCCGCGGAGGTTGGCGACGTCCAGCGCGGCGCGCGAGAAGACGTGGCCGAAGCGATAGGCTCGGGACAGCGGGATGCCAATGCGGGCGTGGTACTGGAACGTCGTTTGCGCTAGCGCCTTGAGCGCGGCGACCGCCTTGCTCGAGCGACTTGGCATCGCAGGCGACGTGTAGACAAGCGAGAAAACAAGGGTTGCGCAGACGCCGCTGTAGATGGGCTCGGCGTGGGCGTAGCGGGAGCTGTCAAACACGACCCACGCTCCCGATGGCAGCGCCTCGGCGTGCGGCACGCCGTCGTCACGCAGTAGTGAGAGATCGCCGCCACTATGTACGCTTGGGAGGGGCACAAGCAAGGTGCTAAACGCACCGGCAGGCGGCGCCGCGACCGCAAAAGCATCGTCATGCCCCGTCGCATCGAGCGCCAAGTGCGACAGGACCATGCGGAACGGTGCGCGGAGGGCGAGCCGCGTTGCGACGACCGAGCGTACATCGGTCTCGAGCTGTTGGAGCCATTCGGCGTTGGAGATGACGAGGTCGGTCGATGGAAGCAAGGCCAGGCGTGGCCAGGACGAGGTCGGGCAAAAGGCAGCAGCGTTCTCCAGCGGCAACGCGAGTGAAATGCCCTGCACTGAGAGCTGCGGGGCGATCGCTGGCAGTGCGTGGCTGCAACTCGGGCCAAGCGGGACGCCAAGTGAGCGCAGCGCGTCGGCGTAGCTCTCCAGCACGACCACCATGGATCCGAGTAGCAACCAATAGCGATGATGAAAATCGTCGTGTTGGACCATCATTCTACATTTTGCCCTGTCGCAGCACCGGTTTGCATTGCACCACTTTACTCACCGGCTCACTCAGTGACGCTCCCTCACAGTGAACGTACCGGTATGCTTGACGTAGTGGGCGTTGTCATGTGATCCATAGGTGCTCTGTGCTATCGTAACGTCTTTTTGTGGACGAGACCGCAGTTTCATTTGCCAGTTATCTCAACTTGAATGACTTTCTACTAACGTTCGTGCAAACGGTAGTACAATGTACTAGTACGGCATAACCACTCACTCTATCGTGCGGTCTCTCGTCTCTTGTGGCCACGCGCCGGCGCATCATGGACGACCTGCATGCACTGCACGGCGACCAGATCTGTCGACGCGATGCTTCAAGTTTGACAGGATTCGACCACGCTCGGGCCCTCGTACCGCGCCAGCCTTGCCCAAGTACGCTTTCTCTTTCCCAAGGCAAGAAGCGATGGCCCCAACGACAACACTTTGCCGAGATGACAATATTGGTAACGTTATCCGCGCGCTCGACAGCAAGACGCAATGAATTGCCGTTCGGGCATGGACAGTCAATGGCCAACGGTCCAATCACATCGCGCCATCTCTGATCTTTGAACTTCGTTGTCGCCACCCTTCCTCATGGCCACGCGCGAAGGCGGAGGCTACGCGGTCGACGGCTGTGGCCTTCCTGTACGCGCTCCAGTGGCGCCACGTGACTGCGACGGCGCCGGACGGCAGAGGTGCGGGGCAGAAGATCGGCGGCAAAGTCGGGATAGGGGATCCCCGTGGATCCAAGCACGTGATTGGTCGAATCTGGCGGCAGATCCAGCCGGCCATTCATTTTTGGCTTGAAGTAACTATACCTGGCTACACCGGCGCGTAGTCGGTGGTCATTCTCCAAAGACAACACGATGGCCGACTTTGCCCCGGAGCAACTGGAAGCGTGCTTGCTGCAGCTGACGGCCAGCAACACGGCGACGATCAAGGAAGCCGAGGCCATCATCAAGGCGTACCTCAAGACGCCCAGTTCGGTCACCGGCCTCGTCCTGCAGATCCAAGGCTCGGCCCACGTCGCCGTGCGCCAGCTGGCCGCGATCCTCTTGCGCCTCAAGGTCTCCAAGCACTGGGCCAAGCTCGACGATGCGACCCAGAACGGCATCAAGCAGACGCTTCTGACGCGCATCATGGAAGAGTCCGAGTCGGTCGTCAAGTCGGCGGTCGCGCGCCTCATTGCGCAGCTCGCCCGCGACCTCGTGCCCCGCAACGAGTGGCCTGACCTTTTCGCCTGCATCGAAGCGTGTGCCTCGAACGCCAACGCGTCGGCCCGCGCGCTCGCGATGCTCCTGCTCTCCAAGCTCAACGAGACGATCGGCGAGCACCTGTTGCAGCACTTTTCGACGCTCAAGCGCCTCTTCCTTGGCGCGCTCCAGGATGCCGAGATCAAGGTCCGCATCGAAGCCATGCACGCTGCGTGCGGCCTCGTCGAGTTCCTCGAGAAGAAGCAGGCCATCGAGGTAGACACCTGACATCCACACCGTCCTTTCTCACATTGCTCTTTGTACGATTCTAGTTTCAGCAGCTCATTGAGCCGATGCTCCAGGTGCTCCAGGCGTGCATTGCCTCGAACGCCGAGCTCGAAGCGTGCGAGTTTATGGACGTCTTCTCGGAGCTCGCCAAGTCGCCGTTCCCGATGCTCACGAAGGCCCTGCCCCACCTTGTGACGCTCCTTCTCAACATCTTCGTCGCGGACGGTCTCGAGCCCAGCACGCGCGCGGCGGCGTCGAGTGCGCTCAACGCCATCATCGAGGCCAAGCCCAAGGCGCTCGCCAAGGCCAACCTCGTGCCGCAGATCTTTACGACCATGCTCAAGCTCATTGCGTCCGACTCGCACTCGGCGAGCGGCATGTTTGCGACGCTCCTCCAGGAGGACGGCGAGGACGACGACGACGAGGACGAGCCCATCACGCAGCTTGCGCAGCGTACGCTCGACTTCCTCGCCCTCGACGTCTCGCCTAAGACGATCAACCCGATCGTGCTCCAGTGCACGCAGGAGTGCGTCCGGTCCGCCGACCCCAACATGCAAAAGGCCGGCGTCCTCGCGCTTGGTGTTGTCTCGGAAGGCTGCTCGGAGTTTCTCTCGACGAACGTCAAGAGCATCCTCCCGTTCATCTACGAAGCCGCGGCCTCGCCGCACGCGGCGGTCCGCGAAGCCGCGTGCTTTTCGCTCGGCCAGTTTTGCGAGTACCTCCAGCCCGTCATCCAGAACCACCACGCTGAGATCGTCCCGGTCGCGCTGGCGCTCCTCGACGACCCGTCGCTGCCCGTGAAGGCCACGTCGTGCTACGTGCTCGAGGTCTTTACCGAGTCGATGGAGCCGAGCGAGATCTCGCCGTTCCTTGCGGCGCTCGTCGAGAAGCTCGTGGGTCTCATCCGCGCGCAGAAGCCGTCGATCCAGAAGCTTGCGATCTCGGCGCTTGGGTCGGCCTCGGTCGGTGCCAAGGCCGAGTTTGCGCCGTACTTCCAGGGCGTCTGCGAGCTCCTCCAGCCGTTCCTCGGCATCACGGACCCCAAGTTTTACTCGCTCCGTGGCACGGCCATCGAGTGCCTCGGCTACCTCGTCGTGGCCATGGGCGCCGAGCGCTTTGGCGCGACGCTGCAGTCGATCATGCCGTACGTCTTCCAGACGATCGCGCTCAACGACGTGGAGCTCACGGAGCTCAGCCTCGGCTTCATCATCAACACGTCCAACATTTACAAGAAGGAGTTCCTTCCGTACGTCGAGACGTGCGTGCAGGCGATCTTGCCGTGCCTCCAGCCCGAAGACGGCATCACGATCGTCGGCGACGACGAGAATGGTGTCGCCCAGGGCTTCGAGTCGGACGACGACGACGACGACGACGACGGCAAGTGCACGCTCAGCATCCGCACGGCGACGCTTGAGATGAAGTGCCGCGCGGTCGAGTGCATTGAAGCGCTCGCGTCCAACATTGGCGGCGCCTTCGACGTCTTCGTGCCCAAGCTCCTCGAGGGCTTGAGCCTCCTCGTCGACTACATCCACGAAGACGTGCGTGGTGCGGTCGCCGAGGCCTGCGCCGCGCTCATTGTGTGCTCGTTCTACGCGGCGACGCCGGCGGCCGAAGAGAACCAGGTGTGGGTCCAAGGCCAGGTCGACGCGAGTCTTCTGCACCCGCGCACGAAGGAGCTCCTCGACAAGCTCACGCAGGACGTCTTCCTCGAGTTCCTCGAAGACCCCGAGAAGATTGTCGTCGAGCGCACGCTTACGGCGCTCACGACCTTGTCGGCGACGATCGGTCCGATCGTGACGGCGCCGTACTTTGAGCAGCTGCTCACGATCGCGCAGGCGATGACGCACGCGCACATTTGCCAGGACGGGTACGACGAAGCCTCGGAGCACGACGAAGACGAAGACGACGAGGACCTCGAGGGCGGCAGCGTCCTCGACAACCTCACGGAGCTCCTCGGCTCGATGGCCAAGTGCTTTGGCCCGGCGTTCGACCAGCTCTGGTCGCAGCTCTTCCCGTTCGCGGTGCAGTACGCCAACGGCCCGCACCCGGACAAGGACCGCGCCGCGATCCTTGGCTGCTTTGGCGAGGTCCTCCCCGAAGTGCAGAACCTCTCGTACGTCCCGACGGTCCTCCCGCTCATGCTCAAGGCGTGCGCCGGCGAGAACACGTCGGTGCAGCGCAACGCAGCGTTTGCGCTTGGCATGCTCGTCAAGATGTCGGGCGCGTCGCTGGCGCCGCAGTACCTCCAGGTCCTCCAGGCGCTCCACCCGCTCTTTGCCAGCGAAGAAGAAGGCGTTGTTGACAACGCGGCGTCGGCTGTCGCCAAGATGATCATGACGCACCCGGACAGCGTGCCCCTCGACGCGGTCATGCCCGTCTTCCTCAAGGCGCTGCCGCTCAAGGCCGACTTTACCGAAACCGAGTCGGTCTTTACGTGCCTGCTTGGCCTGCTCCAGGCGCAGAACCCCGTCGTGCTCAACGCGATGCCGCAGGTGGCCGCCATCTTTGCGCAGTCGCTCTCGGAAGACTCGGACGTCGACGACGACGTCCAGGTCAAGATCCGCGCCTGCGTGCAGTGGCTCGTCGCGACCTTCCCGGACCAGATGAAGGCGATCGTCGGTGCCATGGACCCGGCGGCCCAGGCCATCCTCTCGACCTGCGTCTAAACACATTGGAAAAGGGTCGCGTGGCTGTATTTAGATTTTGTTAATATATTGTCTATACGCTTGGCACAATCATCACCCATGTAAGCAACTAGCACATCGACAAATATTGTCTTCATGTGTGGAAAATATTGCAACGTCTTTCGAAACAAACCAATTGTAGGACGCCAGTGAAAATCGATACTACACCATGCGTCACCGTCATCTTCTTCATTCATGGATTCATTCTTATTTACGCAAATACACAGTCGCCTAGTGCTTGCGACGCTTCGGAGGCGGGCCGCCGTGCTTACTGCCGCTGCTCTTGGACTTCTTGTTCTTTTTCGGTGCTCGTCGTCGCTCTCCTCTTCCTCGCGCGCCTGCTTTTCGTGGCGCATGAGGTCCGACGCGCGCGCCTCCTTCTCGAGCTCCTCCCACGTCGGCCCATCGTCCTCGTCGTCGTCTTCGTCGCCCGAGCCCGCGTCGCTCGACTCGTCTTCATCGACCAGCGACACATCCGAGTCCGAGTCGTCCGAATCGTCGTCGTCGTCGTCATCGTCGTCGTCGCCCGAGCCATCGGCTTCAAACTCCGACTCTTCTTCGTCGCTGCCGTCTTCGTCGTCGTCGCTGCCGTCCATCTTGAGAAACTCCCAGCCCGCGGGCTTCGGGACACCGTCCTCGTCCGTGTCGAGGTAGAATCGGTCGTCCGACTTGATCGTCGCCATGATCTGCTTCCAGTTCAAGTTGGCCGTGCCTTCGGTAAAGCAGATGTCGATATCGTCGAGCCACTCCTTGATGCGCTCGAGCTCTTGCGTCGAGATGGCCGAGACGCGCACCGGCAAGATGTCAAAGTTCTTGTGGATGAACACCATATCAAAGTTCTTGGAGCCAAAGAAGACACGTTCGAAATGCACGTGTTCGACGTCGTCGAGGAGCGTGATGAAGAACGGAAACTCGGTCAGCGACACGAGGCAGTGCACCGTTGGCTGCAAAAGCACCATCTCCTTGAACGGCGTGCCCGAGAAACCGAGCTCTCGGTACGGAATGTCAAACGTAATTGTCTTGTCGACGCGCTCGCTGACGCTCTCGACCTTTTGGCAAAAGTCCTTGAACGTCGTGTTGAGCTTCTCGCGGAGCGCGCGCTCGCGGCCCTCCTCGTCGAGCTCGTCCGGGTCGTACATGGACCGGCGGCGGTTGTCCAGCGCTTGAGACGACTCGATGACCTCCGTGTAAAACTGCACGTCGCGGTGCTTCTTCTTGCCAATCATAATGTGGTGCTTGAGGTGAAAGTGGATGAGCACGACGAGCTCATTGTCGCACGGCTGGAAGATCGCGTGCTTGATGTTCGAGTACAGAATGTCGAGCTTTTGGTTCTTGTTGGTCGTAAAGCGGAGACCGTTCTGGTGCGCTTCGAGCGTCCCCGTCGTCTTGCGCCCGCTCAAATGCGGCCGCGCACTCAGGTCGCTGAGCCGCGGCACGCGGCGGTCGCGCGTCAAGATCAAGTCTTCTTGCACCACGAGGTCCGACTCTTCCTGCTCTTGCTGCTCGCGCTGCTTGACGCGCTTCTGGAGCTCCTTGATCAGCCGAAACTGGTTGTTGAGGTTGTGCGCGTCCGTCGAGCGGAACCCGAGCTCCTTGATAAACATGAGCGACGGGTGCTGCGCGACAATGGCCTGCAGCGCCGGCGACGCGTCCTTCCCAAGCGTCCCGCCAACGCCCGGGCAGTGAAAGTTGATGCGGAGGTACGTCGCCTTGTCCTCCTCCGACTTGCTCACGTTCTTGATCGTCGAGATGTGGAACGGCACGGCGACGCCGTTGATGGGCACAATGACCGCTTCGTGGCGCATGTCGACCGACACTTGGCGCGGACGCAGCTCCGGGTACTGCGACGGGTGCTTGTACGCGACGATCGCGTGCTTGTCCGAGCGCTTGCCCGTGACCGCGTCGCTGCTCTGCTCTTCGAGCCGGCGCATGGCTTCCTCGCGCTTGCGCTTCATGAGCTCGGCCTGGTGACGTTCGCGGCGCTCCTGGTCCGTCTCCTTGCCTTCGAGCGCGCGCTGCTGGTCACGGAGGCGCGACTGCAGCACATTGTTGCGCGTGCTCACGGCGCCGCCATTGTCGTCGTCGTCGAGCTCAGCGGCCTCGACCTTGGTCGGCACCTTATTCTTCTTCGACTCTTTCGATGGCTTGCTCGACGAGTCCGTGTCCTCAATGTCGTAGTGGATCTTGCCCCACGTCTTTGGCACCTTGGTGAGCACCTTGTTCTCGTCGGCCGAGACCGTGATCGTGTCGGCGAGCAAAATCGAGTACGTCTCGGGAAGGTGCTTTGGGCGGTTGTCGCCGAGCGGGATGTTGTGGAAGCCAATCGCAACGTTGAACGCTTGGCCCGCCTGCACCAATTGGTGGTTCTTGGTCGCGAGAAGCATCGACGACTCGCGAAAGTCGAGACCAATGCCAAAGCCGAAGTTCTTGTCAAGAGCTTCGCGAGCTTGGGGTTCTTGGACTCGACAAACTTGGTCACCTTCTCGACGACTGACGAGATCTTCTTGCCCGGGCGGAGCTCGGCAATGCAGAGCTCTTGCGCGTCCAAGAGCAGCTCGTACGACCGCTCCATCGACTTCATGGGCGTGATAAAGTACGTGCGCGCCACGTTCGAGCAGTAGCCTAACCATCGAGTAAGCACATGTGGAGTGTGGAATGGATGGACGCACCCTTGTAGCGGGAGCCCAACGAAGCAATGATGACGTCAAACTTGAGCGACGACGAGCTGCTTTGCGCGCTCGGACGCAAGTCGTACGTGCCGCCCGACTGGATGATCGGCGAGTAGCACGACTCAATGTCGTCGGGGCTCAAAGCGACCTTGATCTTGCCCGGGTCTTCGTAGATACCCTCGATCTGCGCGCTGAGCACGTCGTGCTTGACCTTCTTGTCTTCATCAATGATGCTCTCCATGTCTTCGATAAACTTGAGCTGGAAGACCTTCTTCGTGAGTGCGGCTGCCCAGCGAATGTTTTCCTAACACATGCATTCTGTGAGTGCGCCTGTCCAACGGTACGATGCTGCGTACAAGCTCTTCCGTGGCCTTGATGCGGAGCGCGGCTTCGATCCCCTTGGAGACATCGACTTTTTCAAAGGCAGCGGCCTCGACTTCCTTGAGAAAGAGCTGGACGAGGTCCCCTTCCGGGTTCTCTTTCGCGAGGACGCCGAGGCGCTTGCCGGCGCCGGACCCTTGCAGCGCCTTGATAAGCGTCTCGTAATTCGCCTTGTTCCCATCGGCCTTTTCGCGCTTGAGGAGCTCAAGCTTGATGTCCGACGTCGCGTTGCCCTCCTGGATGGCTTCGAGCATCGCGTACTTGCGGCCGCTCGTCAAGACGTAGACCGTCGACTGGGTAAAGACCATGAGCGTCTCCGGGAACTCGAGAAAGCCCAAGAGGTAGAACTGCATGATGGCCGACTTGCGGTACCCGCTGTCATCGCCGTTGGGCTTCCCAGCGAGCACGCAGAACGCGTCAACGGCCGGCTCGCCCCACTCGGGGTTCTTCGCATCCTACCCAAGCATGTGCATGAGCCGTCGGTCGCTCCATGGTCCCGCGCCATCTCCAAGGCGCATGGAGGAAGCTTGCTCGCCATACCTGCCAAGACGCATAGACGTTCTTGAGGCGCCGGAAGAAGAGGTCCTTGTCCAGCTGCGGCTCGCCCGACATGCTGCTGCTCCTGTGCTCCTGAACCGGAAATGGGTTTTGTTTGGAGGGAAACTTCACAGAAGCGCTCCGGATACCTATCCGGATTCGATAAGCGCGGTCAACTTGCGCACCACACATTCGCCGGCCCCTCGCGCCAAGATCGGGCGCACGGCCGGTCGCCACGGCGCGCGCTGGCATGTACAGCAGCATCGCATAGCGCATGCTTTGATCTATGAATGCATGGGTCTCTTACTGTTGGCTCAGGCGGCGTGCAGGGCGAGGCGGGGCCAACGTCAGAACTGCTAAACACGTCGTTGACAACGCAAGGCAGCTCTCGAGGCCGGTCGCGATAGCATGACACCAAGCATCCAATGCTTTGCTTGGGATATGTGCAACTTCTAGTACCTGGTAGGCACACGGACTTGGTACGACCACTCCTCGTCATCGACAGCATGACCGCGCTGTGTCGGGTCCTCTGCAATGGCACGCACAGTTGCAACCCAATGGTTGCAACCACCCTGGTGACGACGCGGAGGTCCCCTCGTCCGGCTGTGTCAGTAAGCAAGACCGTCGCGAGCAACTCGTTCATAAAAGCTCCGACGCGGCACACCAACAGACCAGGACGCTTGGACATCAACACGACGACGAGGCTGCGTGTTCTCGTACGTACCAAACACGTTTTAGTCAATCCTCAAAGCTTGTTGTCGTCCTTGAGTGCGCGGAGAACCATATCGATCTGATCCATGGCTTCTTGGAGCTTGAAGACGAGCTCTTCGAGCTGCGCCACCGTGCACGTGAAGCGCTCGTACGTCAACGCGCCCGTCGACGCCGCTTGGATCGTCAGCACAACAAAGTAGAGCGGCTCGTGGATCGTGCCAAAGGTGCTGGAGCGAATGCAGTAGTCCAGCCGCCACGAGACGTCTACCACCCGGTCCAATCGCAAGCCTACCACGTAGTTATGCCGATGGCGGCGCCGGCAACGTGCAATAGATGTACCTGAGACGGACGCCAAGGACTGCACCACCGGGATCGCATCCGATAGGATGACGCAAATGTCTTCGACAACGTTCTTCTGGAAGCCAAGTTCGAGGAGCCAGCGACTGGACTTTGCTCTCAGAACGAACTTTTGGCTCCAAGCATGTCGTTTGTACCTGTTGTTGTCCTTGGACAAGTTTTGCTTGGCCATGTCTGCCACGAGAATGCAAGTTGCAGCGTACGCTTCTTTGAGCGCGCGGGCTTCGTCTACATGGAGAAACGTGGGTTCCCTTGCTCGATCCCGACGTCGTCATACGAGCGCTCGCCGGTAGAGGCAGCAGATCACCGAGGTCCAAGGAAGCTGCATCCTGGCTGCCAATCTGCGTGCCAGCCACGTGGAAGAGCTTCACGAGTGTCGTCGCGGGTAGTTGCACAGCCGCGTGTTGGAGGCTCGCCTCCACGGCGGCGCTCAGTGGCATCACGAAAAAGATCTGGCAACCGGACGCCACCACTGTAACCGGATACAAAGGATCTTCCGCCGCTTTGAGAGCACAAGCTTAGAGGTGATTCTGCAGCTCGTTCAGGAGTGATGTGCAGGAAGCCCAAGGCGCTCCAAGCCCCAGCCAGGCTCGTGGGGATGGTCGACACGGCAAGCAAGCGCGTTGTTGTGGGAGTGTGGGTTCTATCATACAATAGGATATTTTATGGCATCTCGCTATTTGTATGGAATTACACGTAACTGATTAAAATGACAATTTTGAACGACCGACATTCTGGTTTGCTATCCGGATACGGGGTGTGTTTGTCAATCGGCAAATATGTTTTGGAAAAAGAAGGACGCAGCGCCGACTCCGAAGCGAGCCGCCGGCCGACCGACCGCCAAGGCCGACGACGGCAAGTGCTTCATGGGCTCCGTCTCCATGGCCTCATCCGCGCCTGTAGACTATGACCTCGCGCAGTTTGGGATCAAGACCGTGTCAGACAAGGATGTCCAGGCGGATCTGGCCAAGCTCATGGCCGAGATTCAAAGCGACACGAGCATGGACGGTATCAACCTCGGCGACTCGGACGATGAAGAGGCCGCGATCATGCGCGAGATTCAAAAGATGGCGCCGTCGGCGAACCTTCAGCACGCGCTCTCGCTCGGGAGCAACGTCTCGGACGACATGGGCGACAGCGACGTCGACGTCGACGACCCGCTCTTAAACGCAGAGCTCCATGGTCTTCTCGGAACAAAGCCACCGAGCATTGAGAGCGAGCGACAGCGATTGCAAGCACTCGTCGACTTGGAGCGAACGAAAGCGCTCGAGCTCAAGCGCCAAGGGCTGGTTCCCGAGGCCCTCGCCGCCATGCGCGAGATGAAGGCGTACCAAGCGCAACTCGACAGTCTGCTGCTGCCCGAGGTAGACTCTTCTGCGCCCGAGGTGCACACAGTCGTTGATGATAACAGCAGCCTTCAAGTCCCGGATGACGACACGAACAATCCCGGATACGACACGTTGCTGCATGGAGCATCCTCGACGCCTCGAGAAAGCCTCCTGAAACAAGCCAAGAAGCTGCGCACCGAGATCCACGCGCAGAAGCTTGACGCGCTCGCACTCAAGCGCGAGAACCGCGTGCCGGAGGCGCTCGCGGTCTTCCGCAATGTCAAGGTGCTCGAGGCGTCGCTCGCCGAGCTTGAAGCCTCCTTGGTCGCAGCGCCCGAAGAGGCGCCTGCGATCATCGCGGAAGAGGTTGAGCTGCCGCCCATGGTCGATGACAATGAAGACGTTCAAGTCACGGACGAGGACTTGGACGATCCATCGTTCGATGCGGAGCTTGCCAACTTGCACAAACCGGCACCGGCGTCGGTACCGATGCAGCGCGACGCTGCCGACGAGCTCATTGATGCGTTCGAAGACAGTGACGACGACGACGACGACCAGGACGCCGACAACGATGCACACGCCACAGGTTCTTGAAACGTCGCTGTCCGACCAGATTGCGGCGGCCAAGGCCCTCGCCGTGCAGCTCAAGCGGGACGGGCGCATTCCCGAAGCTCTCGAGCAACTCCGACGAGCCAAAGCACTCGAAGCGACGCTCGTCCCCGAGACGACGACACCCGGTCCGTCGCCGGCGGAAGTTGCGCGACTGCAGCAGTACGAAGCGGTGGAGAAGGCGCTCGTCGATGCAGCCAACGCGAGCATGCACGCCGCCAAGGATCTCCTCGCGACCGACCGCGCCCAGGCCATGGCCCAAGTCGAACAGGTCGGTCGTCAAGAGAGCACAAAATCCACTGCGGCTATATCTGTAGCGCAAGTACTATACCACTGCACTCGAGACGCTGCGGGAGGCCCGGCGCGACCCGCTTCAGCCGCCGCCGACACTCGAGGTTGTGCGAGAAACGCGACTTGTCGAGCACGTCAACAGTGCGGTGCGACCAGATGCGATTGTTGTCGCGATCCCGGAGCTCCGGTCCACGAGTCCCGAGGCTAAAGACGTCTTTGTCAAGTTTTCGCTCAACGTGCCGTCGTCGAATCCGCACGAAGGCGTGACGCCGAGCGCCCACGGCAGCTCGAGCGTAAAGTTTGGAGCCGAGTTTACCTTTCCGATCGCGCGCAGTCGCGGCCTCCAAAAGCTCGTCGAGCTGCGCAAGGCCCAGTTTGAGGTGCTTACGACCGCGGGGTTTTGGAAAGCGTCCGAGTCGCTCGGCCGTGGCTCGCTCAACCTCGCGCCGCTCGTCAAGACGTCCGAAATCAACTGCTGGGTGCCGCTCATGGCCAACCGCCGACCGTGCGGCGTTGACATTCACGTACGTCTGTGGATGCGGATCGAGGTGTCGATGTTGTTTTAGGTGATCTTGCGCCTGCGGACACCCTTGGGTGGCCCCGAAATGCGGCCCGTGCACAGCGAAAAGCTCGTGGTCGGCCCATACCCACCTCGGGAGGTGCCGGCGGCGGTCCCCGAGCCACCTGTAATCCCGGCAGTGTCACTTGTCGTCCCAGCAGTCGCTCCGGTTGAGGGGCCGACGACCAGCGTAGCGCTACCCAACGACGAAACGGACCCGCACAGCCTTGACAACATTGTGAGCTACGAGGTCATGACCGACGAGGTAGCCGCCGTTGCGTTGTCGATCGATGGGATGGGAACGTGGGTGACGTAGGTGGAGCGCATCACCAAGCGACTCGAGGCAGGCGCGGTTCCCGAGCTCGTTGATCGCCTCGAGAGTCTCCAGCTCAAGCGCCAGGTATGCACCACCGTTGTTGTGCAACTTGAATCACTGTACTGCGACTAGCTCTTTGAGATTGAGATTCAGTCGGGCAAGCTCAGCCTCGAGATGTACGTGGCACGTCTCCAAGAACGCATCGCGCTCGACAATCAATTGGCGCGGTCCCTGTACAAGCAAGGTAGGTCACGTGACGCCATCGATCGACATGCATAGCTTAATGTTTTTTAGGACAAAAGGGCGACGCCGCCCGCGTCATGCTTCGGGTCAAGATGATGACAAAGGAGCTCGAATCGGCATGAGCGTAACAATGACGACCGAGCATCGGCAGCGTCTCGGCGTTCTTTTCTTATTGAGATTGAAGTTGCTGGCTCTTGATGAACGTCCGTCGTTGCTATTGCAAGACGGTGTGAGCGGACGTTCGTGTTATGAGAATTCATTTGCTTTATCTCTTTCTGTGTTGAGCTGTATTGTATTTTTTTCCTCGTCGAGCCACTTGAACATCATGGTTCCCACGAGCAGGGTGTCGTCGTTTTGATTTAGGTGAAGCCTAGGGCCGGTAAGCCATCGAACAGAATTTATCTAGCATTTAACAGTGTGTCGAAGTAATATTCGCAGTGGTTCGGGTTCTGCTTGTAACGTTATTAGAGTTGTGGGCACTAGTTTGGGCGCATGGTATAGTTGAGCTTTGTGCACTAACGTTATCATTAGACCAGTGTTGGAATCGAGCTGCAGGTGCAATGAGGTTTGATGTACACTACCCAAATGCAAACAAACACACATTGGTTCAAACACTGAGAAGGGTGATAGCCGCGTCCACTGATCGAGTTGGAACGACTTGGACTCCCACCGGCGCGAGATTTCAACTACTAGCATCGCCATTGGGTTCAACAGCACGGCAGGGATTTCCTGTGAAAACACATAATATTTTTCTCAAAGGCATTGACCTACGCCCCACCGTGCAGCAACACAAGAATCGCCAAACCGAGCCCGGAAAAAAAGTCGCTTAAATTTGGAACATCGATAGAGGACACTTTGGAGGTCACAACGCGCTACGTCGTTTGATCGGTTGACGCTGTGGAACCGAGAAATTAATAGACAAAGTTTTCTACTTCGATTTTCGTTTTCTTCAGACATAACCGTTCGGCTGATCGTGCCTCGAGGCGAGGCACGCCAGGGTACGAGGCATGAATCTATCTATCTCGACAATATCGATTGTATAAACACTTGGAGTAGAGCGTTTATGTAGTCCATCCCCTTAAGAGAGATCTCTGCTGCTTTAGTGGCTCGACCAAAGCCGCTCAACCGTTAGCAGCATCGAAGATCGAAGCCAAACCGGTGTGGAGGTCAGCTCCGGATAAAACGGTTTGGTATGCGGACGATGTTGGTATCTTGCGTCGCTTCGGGCGATGGCGGACGCAGCCAAGGCCACGTATGAGGACAAGTACCTGGACCTGCGCGAAGAGAACTTGGCGCTAAAGCGCAAGAAGAATGAACAGGAGGCGACGATCAAGCGGTACGGCCGATCGCTCCACGCGGCGCCTCATGCCATGTAGCATGTACACCAAGCTCGCGATGATCGAGGAGACGCTCAAGCGCAAGGAGCGCGAAGCCGGCCCCGAAGCCACATCGCCAAGTACATTGTATGCTAGCGTGCAGCAATTGACTCTACTTGTTAGCCAAAGCCCACGGGAAGCGCGACTTGGACACGGAGCGCTTTGTCGACGAGCTCAAGCGCGAGAACGCAGCGCTGCGCAAGAAGGCCCAGCTCTCGACCGAGGCGACGCGGCAGCTCAAGGGCCAGCTCACACTGCTCAAGACCAAGCACCCGGCGCGCACCAAGAAGGACGAGGTGTCGACGCCGACGGCGACTCGTAGCCATGCGCAGGCCGCGCCCTTGGAGAGCTATGCGCATTTGGCCCGTGACATGCACCTCGAGAGAAAGGCGAATCGCAACGTGGAGCTCGAAGACGCGTTAAAAGCCCGATTGGTGATCGCCGAGCGCCGTTTGCTGCAACTGCAAACCGAAAACGAAGCGCTCAAGCGCGCCGCCGACGACCACGACGACGACGGCGACAACAACCTCAGTCATCGATCGCATTTGGGCTCATTAGAAGTCGAGCAGCTCCAGCGTGAGCTTCGCGATCGGCAAGCGCAGCTCGTGATTCTGAACGCTCGCTTTGACAACCTCGAGTCGAAAGCCGTGGCGGAGCGCGAGATCCAGGTACCGATGGCACCATCCGAGTCGTGCTTCCAAACGACTCTATAGGAGAAAACGCTGGACCAAATGGAGAGCTTCAATCGCGTCATTCACCGGCTTCGTGCCGAGCTCCAGGACGCACAGATGGCCAAAGAAGAGCTCGAGAAACGGGCGGCCAAGACGAAGGACCTCAAAGACGAAGTCGCGATGCTGCGAGAACAAGTACGACCGAATATGGTCTCATGCAGGATGTGTTTTATCCATCGACGGGATAGAATGCCAAGCTGGAAGAACGCATGACGTCGCTCTGCGAGAGTCCGTTCATTAACGACGCCTTTCAGCGTAAAGAACGCATCGACAAGATCATCGACCTCGAGAAACAAAATGCGATGCTGAAGAAGGCCAACGAGACGCTTTTGGCCGACGCGGCCAAGCACGTGGCCGCGATCCAAGAGCTCCAGAGCACTGTTCGGCTCACAAAGCAAGCAAAAGAAGCGCTTGAACAAGAGGTCCTTCGGCTCAAGAAAGAGCTCGACGAAGAGCGCAACCGGCAGCAGTTCCAGCGACACCAACCGACAACGATTGTTGTCGAGGCGCCGCCGCAGGTCGCCGCTGCACCAGCCAAGCCTCTGCCCAAAGTCGCCAGTCCCATCAAGGTGTCGGTTCAAACCGAGACCTTCGAGCTGCCGCCGCCGTTATCGCTGCCGTCCAAGACAGAGTAGAAAGCTTGTCTACCGAATCCGAAGTATCCACGCCTTGTAGGGGCATGCCGGTGACTGCACGTCGCATGCTTGACGATGCCGCCAGCAAGGAACTCTTTAGCCCATTGCTGACCGACCGCGAGAGCAGGTTGGAGCTCTTGTACTTCGTGGCCAACCATTGAATAGCGTCCATGTGCTCAAGCAAAAGGTGCACACGCTCCAGATCGCCCACCTCTCGTCGACGCAGGAGCTCGAGCGCTGTGAGAAGATGCTGCAAGCGCAAACAAGCATCAACCGGGAGCTCAGCCTCGAGATTGAGGACCTCGTCTCGCGGAAAGACGCCTCGCATGGCGCGCTCCTCAAGAAGATCTCGACGCTCGAGCTCTTGGCCGAGCAGCGCCTCAAGAAAATCGCGGTGCTTGAAGCGCAGATTCGACAACTCAAGTACCTCGCGACGCACCAATCAATATCACGTCCAAACAACGAAGACAACTTGTCGTTGCCCGACAGCGACATGAACGGGGGCGATCACGACGGCGCATGTGTCGTCGCAGGCGCCGACGAACTCGACCAAGGCACGTTGAAACATTGCCTTGCGCAAATGGCGACGTAATAGGCGCATGTAGGTGAAAACCTCTTGGAGATTTGGGTCGTCTCGGCGCATTTCGAGCCGAAATACGTGCATGGCACGAGCTGCACCTTTGTGCTTTGCGACTTTTACGACTTTGAGTCGCAAACGACAGCGCTCCTGACCGGCAGCGACCCCGTGTACAACTTTGCCACGTCCTACAAGGTTGAGTTGTCTCTCTTGTGGTTTTTTTATACAAAAGTGGCGGGTAGATTACGGCCGATGCCTTTTTCCTGCGCTACCTCGCCTCGGACCAGCTTGCGCTTGAAGTCCACCAAGCGATCCAAGGCGATTTTCAGGTCGTCGGACGCACAGCACTGCCCTTGCGCCCGCTGCTCTCGAGTCGAGGCGTCTTGCGGGACACAAGTGTGTCAATTCGCCATACGTCGACGAACGCCATCATCGGCACCATGAACCTCGTCTTGCGCATGGCGATCCCTGTCTCGGAAACGTGGCAGTTGCATCTGCAGGCCCATCCTGCGGACCGCGCCTTCTTGGGCGACACACCGAACCTCGAGAGCGCGCTCGAATTGCACGACGCAGTGAGTCACCTTGGGCCGCTCAACGACCTCGAGGTGCGTCCTCAGCCCGATGGCGCTCAACTTGAAATGACAATACATGCGTAGATTGCAATCGTTGCGGGGCGCAAGCTCTATACGGCGTCGGGGCGTCCACCGAGTGCGTACGTCCACTACCAGCTCCTCGGGTTTCCAGACGTCTTTACGGACATTGCGTCACACACGGCGACGCCGTCGTTTGAACACAGCACGCACCGCTTCTCCGTCTCGGTCGATTTGTGCCTCAAACAGTTCTTCAAGACCGTATCGCTGGCACTGACCATCTTTGACGACAACGAGGCCAATGATGCGAGTGCCGAGTCGAGTGGTGGCGTCCTCGGGACGTGCGAGGTGCCGCTCAAAGCGCTCGCCTCAGGCGACGCCATCAGCGGGTGGTTCGAGGTCCTCGATCCCCGCGGCGTTTCGGCGGGCGAGCTCCTCCTCACGCTGCAGTGGAAGCACCCGTTCCAAGTCCTCACGGAGCTTGGTGCAGCCCCGGTCCATGCCAATGCCCTGACGCTACGTGATGTCCACGACCTCATGGGTCATTTTTCCTTCTTGCAAGACGGTCGCGTCTGCTACAAGTCATTTCTGATCTACGCCCACGCGAGTCTCTTTGTCTCGGCTGGCTTTCTCGAGGTGCTCCAATGGTTTCACTCGGCGATTCGGCACCTCATGCACGAAGCCCACGCGCACGACGTGCCTCTTGAGAAGTTCTTGGCCCTCGAGCCCAAGCTCCTCACACCGGACGTCTTTGTACAGCGCTGCAAAGCTCGCAACCTGATTGTGACACCCGACCACGTCCAGCTCTTGGCGTCCGTCTTGGTGAACCAAAATGGCTTCTTCCACGCGTCCGAGCTCGCATTGCACTTGGACCCGTCGCCGCTGTGCCAAGCGCGCTTTGTCGCCCAAAAGATTCGCGACACGATCCGCCTCTTTGAGCGCCAAGAGAAGCCGACTGCGCTGCTTCGGCCGTTCGAGCGCTACGACCCGACGCAGTGCTACTACGTGAGCCGCGCCGAGTTCAAGCGGGGGCTTGGCGTGCTCGGGTTTCACATCTACGACCCGCAAGAAGTCGAGGCATCGAACGAGCTACGCCTCGAGGCCTCGGTCAGTCTTAAGACACCGACACCCGCCGCGCCCGTACCGCCGAATGGAAAGGATGATGAAGAAGAGCTGCAGCCAAAAGCCGCCATCTCGAGCCGGACCAGATCGCATGTGGCGACGACAGAGTTTGAACAGCGAAAGGCGGCGTTCCAAGAACGCATGAAGACGGCCGCGGCTGCGAGCCAGCAGTCGTTCGTGTTGGATGCACCGACGCTGCCATCAACGGACCTCGCGGCGCGGTCGATCCAGCGCCAATTTCGCCGGACACGGTATCCTAGGCAGTTGGCACCTGCGGCTGAGGTGGTGGCGCCGAAGGACGCCGAGGCGACACCATGCACGATCGTTGACGTCGAAGTCTTTGTCAGTGGGCACATGGAGATGCACGAACACGTGACGAGCCAATGGATCCAGCTCTGTACGAGTCTCGACAACGCCCATGCAGGCGTACTCTCGAAGAAGCAGATGCTGCACGTCCTCAACCAGCCACCGGGCGTCTTGGCGCTCAAGCCCGAGCACGTCCAGCGCCTCCTGACGTACTTTACCACACCGGGGGCGCGCCGCATTGCGTATGCGCCGCTGATCCACTTTTTGCGGACGTGTGCGAGCGCCGTGCAGCAGACGCCGCCGTTGCTCAAGCTCCTGCAGACGCTGCTTCTCGAGGTAGTACTACCTATTTCTTACCATGCCCAGTACGGTCTGAGAAACGTCGGGGTAGGACGCCGACTACGCTTTGTTTGTGGACGCCGATAGCCGTAACTCGGGCGTGCTACCGTACGCCGCCTTTAGCGACCTCTTGCGCCACGTGTGCGTCGGACTCTCAAGCACGCAAGCCAAGCTCATCATGCAGCTCTTCGACGTGAGTGGGTTTGGCGTCGACTACCGCGCGTTCTTCCAGTATATACTCGCGCTGCCGCACAACGTTCAGCTTCAGAAGATCAAGGCCCGCCTCCACCGCCTCAGTACGCCCGTGCTCCAAACCATCAAGGTACTGTGCTGGTTGCTTGATGTACGATGTGCCATCGGTGGTGGTAGCTGGCGCTGGCCCAAGCCCGCCCGAATGACACATTTACAAAGCTGCAGCTGGCGACGTTATGGAAGCAAGCCAACGTCGTCGATCTCTCGTGGTCCGACCAAGCGCTCTTGTGGCAGTACGTCGACAAGCGCCAGGTCGGCAGCATTGACGCGGGCACGCTCTGGGGGCTCTTCACCCGCCCGCCGCCCACGTCCCGACCCCACACGTTCGAGCTCTTGGATCTGAGTACGCTGCAGCACCTCGCGTGGAACGCGCGGCGGCTTGTCGCACACGACGCGACGTTGCTGCTGCAAGCGTTTGCGCGCTACGACTGGCGCAAGCTCGGGTGCGTCGGGACGGACGAGTTTGCGGCCGTGCTTTTGCGCTCTGGGTTTGTCTTGCCGTCGCCCGCCGTGCAGAACGTGCTCATACCCCACTTTTACACGCACGGCAAGGTCCAATACCGCGCCTTCGTCGAGTGGAGCCACGTGCCGAACGTGAGTCTCCGAGGGATCGAGGCGCGGCTGCAAGCGCTGGCCCAAGAGCGTGCACGCGCCGAGAACGTGCCTGTCTCGAGCGTCCTCGCGCAGTGGCTCTCGTCGTTCGCACCGCCCGTGTCGCGCACAGCGTTTGCGGCGACCGTGCTCGAGACGTTGGTACTTCCGCTCTCGACCGAAGATGTCCGCGTGCTCCTCGAGGCACTGGACCCGGATCTGGTCGATGTCGTCGACCACACGCGCTTTGTGAAAATGGACTCGGGCGCCCCCGCCGAGCCAGCGGCCGTAGACGTCCCCATGCTTCTCTCGGTGCTGGGCTCGATCGTGCAGACGCAACGCAGCAAAGTCGTCTCGACGTTCGAAGCCTACGACGGGACCGATGCGGGCGTCGTCGAGCCCGACATCTTTACGCTCTGCTGGCGCAAGCTCGGCGTTGACTTGAGCAGCGCCGATGTCCATGCGATCTACGCCGCCCACGCCAAGGACAGACACTCGCTCGAGTACCGGAAGTTCTTCAAGCACGTGCTCCAGGCCCCCGAGACGGAGACAACTTTGCCACAGGAGACGCGGGAGAAGCACCACCGCCTCCTCGTCACAGCGCTTCAAGACGCTGCGTCGGCGGCGGATCCAGCCCTCTGGCGCGACTGGATCACCAACCTGAGCGACTACATGGTCCAGAAAGGCAAAACGGACGTCCCGCCGAGCAAGGTACCCGCGGTGCTCGTAAAGACTCTGCCGTCCCCAAGTCTCATCGAGCTCGATCGGTTGCGGCCGCTGCTTCCTGCGCTTCTCAACGTCAAGACGGGGCGCGTGTCCTTGCAGGCAGTGCGGTCGCTCCTCGAGCACGTGGCTCGGCCCATCGCCAAGACGTCGACGCCCGAGGCGCCATCCGGGGAAGGACGTAGCACAGAGCTCCAGCGAAGCTTGCACGTGTTGACGCTCTTGCTTCAAAACAGCATCGCGAGCGGCGTCGACTACCGTCGCGTCGTCGAGCAATTTGATGTCAATTGGACGGGAACGATTGCGCCGCTGGATGTCAAGGCAGCCCTCCTTGAGCTCGGTCTCAATATGGTCCAACACGGGCCAGAGAGCGTCGGGTACCTCGTTCAGCACTTTCGGCAGTCCAAGAGCGATTCGAACGAAAGTGGCGGCATCAACTACCTGCATTTGCTTCACGAAGCCCGGCAGGACGTCAACCCCGGATGGCAGCTCGACGAATCCCTCCGGCTTCGCATTCGGCTCAAAGCGGCGCTGACGACCGAGCGTATGACGCAGGACGCGTCGATCTACGCAGCGATCGCGCCGGCCTTTGCGCATTTCGATCGAGCCCAGCAAGGGTTCCTCACCCTCGAAGCGCTTGCACTTGGTTTGCACTCGCTGCACTACACTGTGTACAGCACCCTGTGGCATTTGTTAGTGGCTTGATGGGGTTTTAGGTCAATCGGAGACGTCCAAGGCCTCTTTGACGCCATGTCGGTCTTCAAGACGACCAACGTCATCTCGCGCGTTGAGTTTGACGCGTTCGTGCTGGACCCGTACCGGTCCGAGCTATTGGTCAAAGTCGGTGGCCAGCTCTGGACGTCCCCGACACTGTTTGCTGCTGTCTCGCAACGCTTCGCGGCGAGCGATCTGGGCACCGGTGCGTTGCCGCTGCAGACGTTCCGCGACGTCTTGGCCGAGCACGGCATCGCCTTGTCTTCGTCCGAGGTGCGACGCCTCGGACACCTCTTTGACGTCAACCGCGATCGCGCCATCTCATACAAGCTCTTTCTTCGGGCGATGGCCCGACTTCGTCCCTCCACAACGAGCGAGAAGGCCGAAGACGAGGCGTCGACGGTCACGGTCGTGCTGCAGCAGCTTCGCAAGCACCCTCGGGACGCTGTCCTGTCGATCTTTAGCTCGTTGGATCCGGATGCCCACGGCGTACTGCCGGTCGCTGATGTCTTTATCGCACTCAAGCACCTCGGTATTGTGCTGACGCCGCCGCAGGTCCGCGAGCTCGTGCTGGCGTTTCCCGGTGGCGACCGCAGCATCCAGTATGTGGCCATGCTCCAAGCCGCGCAGCAAGAGCCGGTCGCCCCGGTTACAAGTACAGACAACAACGACGCTGCGCGGCCGATTGTGGACCAGCTCAAGGCCTTTCTTCGCGACGCGGCGGCCCACGGCGTGAGTCCCGCCGAATGCTTTGCACACTTTGACACGAACGGGTCCGGTGACATTGACACACTCGAGCTGCGCAAAGGCCTCGTGAAGCTCGAGTTTCCCCGCGTCACGGACGATATTGTCACCTGGATCATGGACACGTTTGGCGTCCACGGTGTGCTCGACTACCGACACTTTGTGTCGCACTTGGTCGGGCGCACGGCTGACGTGGTGCTAAGCGACCTGCAAGCAGCCTTCAAGAAGGCGCGCGTGCATGCCAAAGACGTCCACCACCTCTTCCTGCGCTACGACGAGTCGTACGGCGGCCACGTGACGCTCGACCAGTTCCACGCAGTCCTTGCCGACTGCCGAGTGGAGGTACTCCCGATTGCATGCACCCTTTGCAGCACTCATGTCCATTGGTGCGAATAGATCAACGACAGCGACCTCCGTGTCCTCGACGAAGCGCTCGCGGGGCAGTCGTCGACGATCAACTACCGCACGGTTTTGGCGCGCCTTTTCGGCAAGTCCACCTCCACCTGAGGTACCGATAGTCTAGCGTCGCAACGTTCTGCAGTATGCAACGTCCTCGGCGTGCCTCTCAACGTCCATTGTTTAGTTAGTTGAAACGTCGACTAACTACAATCGCATCGTCCTCGCCACCTTGCCGTTCCCATGGCTTGTTTACAACGGTATAATAATAAACCGGCCGGCGCCTCATATTTTAATTCCATTTTCGTGATACGGTCCTGCCAAGCACCTTCTTTTTGTATCGGACGTCGCGGCTTTGTATTAAAATAGCGCCGAAAACCATCGCCGATGTGAAATAAATGGACCATGTCCCATGCCACGCGGTGGAAAAGCGACGCATTATAATGCTCGTCCAAGGCACCATGTATACAAACCAGTATATATTTAAAAAACGGGGCGCACGAAATCAAAATAAAAGGCCACGCACCCCACCAAAGCGCAGCGACCAACAAAGCCGCTCGGGCAACTCAAACCAATTGTTGCCAGAGCTCGCAACCCAGTGATCCAGAAGCATGTCGGACGAGCCGCAACCTATCGCTACGCCTGCCGCCGAGACAGTGGCCGCCGAGGAGGCCGCGCCCATCGTGGCCGTGCCCATGGAGCTCGGGCCCAAGGTACCGCGTCGAAATAGGCGATCACTAGAGTCATGGCCGATGCGAGTAGCACCCGCTGCAGCACAAGTGGGTGCTCTGGTACGACAACCCGAAGAAGAAGCTCGCGACCGAGAGCTGGGAAGAGAACCTCAAGCTGATTTACACGTTTGAGACGGTCGAGGACTTTTGGTGCCTCTTCAACAACGTGCTGCCGCCGACCAAGCTCTCGACGGGCAGCAACTACCACCTCTTCAAGGAGGGCATCCGGCCCATGTGGGAAGACCCGATCAACATGAAGGGCGGCAAGTGGATTCTCACCAACACGCGCCAGCGCCGCCCGCGCCTCGACGACTCGTGGATGCATGTGGTATGGTATTGTATGGCATGAGGCTAGAAGGCTCATGCTGCTTGGCGTAGATGCTGGCGTTGATTGGCGAAGCGCTCGAAGACGAAGATGACATTTGCGGCTGCGTCGTGAGTGTGCGCAAGTCGCAGGACCGTCTTGCGGTCTGGACCAAGACGGCGGTCAACGAGCCGTTGCAGCGCACGGTGGGCCGCAACTTTCGCAAGGTGCTCGACCTCGGCAAGAACGAAGTGCTCAAGTTCCAGTCGCACGCCGATGCGGCCGCGAGCGGCTCGAGCTTCCAGAACGAAGTGTACGTTTCTTGTGGTGTGGTAGAGGGCATCGAGCTTACATGGATGTAGGCTGTACGACGCATAAGCAAGAGACGTTGTACCAAGACACGTAGAGTAGTCGATTTAGTGCGTCGTGTCTGCTACGCCACCGCGTGGACAAGAGCTGGTGAAGTAGATACTAACCCGAAACAGTTAGAGAATTATATAACTATATAACCTTTTGATGTTGTCCACATGGCAATAGACACCATTTCCAGTGTTTCAGTCGCAGTGTCGTCTATATATCAACGTGTTCCGCGTTATCTCCCTTACAAAGAGTTCGCTTACGTAGCGCTGCCATGACATATCTTCTGCAAGGCCGTAGATGAGCGTCATGTCGTGATGCATCGTGCGCCCTATCCATCCCGTGGTGGACCCCACTCGCCGAGGGTTCGCTCGCTCGAGGTCGTACGCAGGCTCCTGTACTCGGACCACCCGACAGAGGAATGCAAGCCGTCGGGTGTGTTTCGCAGTGTCGTCTAGCCACGGAACTGCATTGCCTCGAACGGAGCCAAGTCACTTTTCTCGACGCGTTGCGCTGCCATGGCAAGGCCGTATATGAGCGTCATGTCGCGAGGCGGCGTGCGCCTCAGTGCATGAGCTCTGCGCATTATGCTTCAACCGACGGTGCGCGCAACTAGTCGCGCGAGAAGGCGCCATTTCGACGACTGATGTGTTGGCTAAGATCTGATAGCTGGTCGCTTTTGGTGCTGTTACCGATACCAGTTTTCACAACCATGTACTAGTATTAATACTTAGTAAACTTCTGGGACCGATGTGGTGCTCACGAGCCAAGGACTCGATTCCCCACCGCCGACTTTCATTTCCCATACAAGACAAACAGGGCGCGACGACGAGACGTTGGCAACGGCGTTGGCGTGCCACGCTCGCAGTATCGACACAGCTACCTCTGTCTGCTCTGCTTGCACATGCGACATGTCGTCGAGGAGGAGTAGAAGAAGAGTCGACTCTCGTTCAAAAGTGGCCTTGACGCGGCTTTATTCGAGGCTGAATATCCGCACCGTCTCGTCGTCGCTGGCCGTGACGAGATCGGCAAGCATGCCGTTGCGGACGATAAGGTCCATGTCCAGGATCATTTCCTGCAGGCGTTGGCATCAGATTTGTGTCGATGAATATGTAGTACCTGGTGGCCCGAGAGCGACCGCTGGAGCTGGCCGCTGCGCGCGTCCCACACGTGAATCATACCGTCCACCGTGCACGTGTACACAAACTAAAGAAGAGTTGTCGCATACAAGGGACTTCATCAGGTGCCAGCGTACCGGCTCGGTCGGGTGCCACATGAGCTTGATGACGCCGGCTTCGTGGCGGCACACGTGGCGGCACTGGTAAGTCGCGAGGTCCCAAATGCGGAGCTCGCCGCCCAAGTCGGCGGTCGCGCACCAGTTGAGCGTGTTGCAAAAGCCAGCACTAGGCAATCATCGCGTAAGCACACTAGCATCGTCGTACATGGCACTATACCACTCGACCGAGTTGACGGCCATCGAATCGTCGGCCGCAATCGTGCCAGCTGCCGCTTCGTTGGTCGCGTGCGAGAAGACGGCGAGCTGGCGCTTGTTTTGAATGTGGAGAAGGCGCGCCGTGCCGTCTTGGGAGCACGAGATCATGACGGGCTGCTTGGGGTGGCAGAGCACGTTGCAGATCGGGCCTTCGTGGAACTCGTTGCCGCGGAAGACGTGCGCGCACTCGCCCGTCTTGGGGTTCCAGAGACGGACGGTGCAGTCGGCCGACCCAGTCGCGATCATCTTGCCCGAGCCCGTGAACGAACCGCACGTGATGCTGTCTTCGTGGCCAGCAAACACGTGCATGCATTCGCCCGTGGCCGCGAGCCACATCCACGCCGTGCCGTCGCCCGAGCCCGCGAGGAGAACGTTGCCCTAGCAGGCATGAGATACAGGGCTTGAACGACGCGAGTAGTACCTTGGCGTGCCACTTAATCCACTCAATCTCCTGCGACGGACCGTCGAGCGTATGGAGAAGCGCGCCGGTCTGCACGTTCCAGACCTTGACGATACCATCGTAGCCGCCGGTCGCGGCGAGCACACCATCGCAGCTAAAGCCGACGGCGACCACCGAGTCGGTGTGGCCCTTGAGCACGTGCTTGATCGAGAGATCTTCGATGCTCCAGATCAGGCCGACGTCGTCGCCGCCGCCGCTGAGCACAATGTTCTTGTCGAGCGGGTGGACGCTAATGGCGTACACAGGGCCGTTGTGGCCGCGAAACACCTGCGTCGCATGTGAGCATCCTGCCTGGAAGCACGTTGAAGCGTACCATGCGGGCGTCGTCGACAATCTCGGCCGAGACATCCGCCTCGCCATCGTCGTCGCCGTCGACCTCCATGTCGTCGTCCTCATCTAACATGCAAGTCTCGCGTGCATGCATCGCCAGTCGCCATGTACCTGGCACGTCGCCGAGCTCATACTCCTCCGTGACTTCGTCTTCGAGGATCATCTCCTCGTCTTCGAGGAGCACATCTTCAGTCTCAAGGTGGCGGGCGTCCATCAGGCTCGGCGGATACGAAAATGGCCGACACCAATCAGCCCTGTCTCGCACCTAAGTGAGCGACGTCCGTATCCGGCGGCATAGCTCCGTTATCCGGATGACTAGCAAGCCGAAACGCTCGAGAAAGGCCACCGAAGTCGGTGATCGCCAAGCGGCAAGTGCTACGAACAAGACCTTGGGCGAAGAGAGCTCAGACGTTAGTGCAGAGGTGATTGCAGCAAAGATGTATCGAGACTCTGTGGTAGTCATCGATCTCCATGGCGACGTGCAGATCCAGTTACCGGTATTAGTATTATCTCGACCAGACCCTTGACCAGACCCTGGTCTACCGGATCTGGCACACGTACCAAGTGGATAGCGCTGCATCGGCAACAAAAGATGATACAAGAAACACCATGACGCCGTCGTATTGCATTAAACGAGCTTCAGCTTCGCCGTGACGGTGTCGAGCCACGATTCGATGATGGCGTTGACCTTCTCGGGGGTTTCCCACAGAATCCAGTGCGACGCCTCTTCGACGTGGCCGCGCACGAGGTTGGGGACGAGCGTTTCCATGCCCTTGCTCATGGACGGCAAGAGTGCTTGGTCGCGGCCCGCGCTCACAAAGAGTGCTTCGTGTGGCACGACCACGTCGACGTGCATCTTGTCTTGGTTGTCGAGCTCGCACGTCTTGTACCAGTTCAAGCCGTGCTGAAAGCCTTGGCGCATGTACTCGTCGACCATAAACTGCAAGTCGGTCTTTGAAAAGTTGGTGCGCGGCGTCTCCGGATCAAACTCAAACTCGGCGAGCGCCTCCATCGCGCTGCGCACGTTTGTGGCCGACGCCGGGCGACGCAACTGCTTGCAGCCGTACACGAGCTGGAAGAACTTGTGCGGATTCGCCTCGAACGCCGCAGCCGTGCCGTCCTGCACCAGGTACAGCTGGTACGTCAGCGACGGAAAGATCGCGACAAAGTCCTCGAGGGTCAATCCTTGGGGCACGACGTCCCAGAACGGCGTGCAGATCGAGCCCACAGCTAGCACGCGCGATGGCTCGAAGAGCGCCATGCACCACGCTGTCATGCCACCCCAATCGTGGCCGATCACGATCGCCTTTTCAATCTCAAGGATATCTAGCGAGTACTTTTCTTCAGACAAACGCCATCGCGATGAGCAGGTCGGCATACCGAGAAGGTCGGCGTAGCCTGCAGCGACGGTCTTGCGCGTGTACTTGGTGAAGTCGTCGGGCGATGTCGTGGCGCCAAAGCCGGGCTGGTCCGGCACAATGAGGCGGTACTTGGCTCGGAAGTGCTGGATTTGATGCTAGCACAAGTTCACGCCATGAGCCTTGGAGAGCTCCAGGGAGCAACCAACGTACCCGCCAGCCCCACCAGAGATCGGGCCAGCCGTGCAGCAGGAGCATTGGAATGCCATCTAGACGTGCAATAGCATCAGACCACGCGCATCAACGGCGCATGTACCCCGGGGACCCACGTCGACGTAGTGGAGGCGGACACCGTTCTTGAGGTTGACGTACTTGTGCTTGTAGCTGGGGTCGTAAGGGGATGTCATGGCTGCAACGTGGCCGAGGTCAATTGACAAATGACTTGAGGAGAGTCCTTGCGCATCGTCTCGACGCTTAGTTAAGCTGGCTGTGCTACGTCATCGTGTCTGCATACCAACAGTTGTCTGCCTTCGGCGGCATGTCGCGTGCGCTTCATGTTTGATTGGCTCGTCGAGAACTACCGGTAGCCCCTCCAATTCACTCGCTCTGCACCGTATTCCATCGCCCTGCGTTTGCACACGATGTTGATGCCATGGTACTTATTCCAAAGCAGCGTTTGAAAGAGTCGCGGACCAGAAAATCTCAGACAAGTCATCTTTCCACAACCCTAATCGCCATTGTCGCATAGTGTCGTGCTCCGAAACGACACGGCGAGTCGTGCGTCGTCGTCGACTTTCTCCAGGACCAGAACGTAGAGCAGCTACGGTGCTGCTACTGTACTGTAGTTCACAGCAGTCCAGGCATACGTCAGTGATGTAGTGCCCCAAAGCAAGGCTCATGAAGCGACTTCACGCAAGGGGCGCCATCGCTCGCTGCTTGGTGATCACACGATCCAGATGTTGTCAGCTACGGTCGCACGAGCAATCCCTTCTCTCAGCCCTTCTCTCCGCTTGGCTACAATTCAACTCAATCCATTGTCGAATCATCATGTATGTTTATGCTATCGAAGTATGCGAAACGAATCAATCAGGCGCTAAACTACTGTACCACTGAGCTACAGTACACTGGGGCCCGAGGTGCGCTTACGGTGCCACAGCAAGCCCGAGCTTGGCGACGACCTTGGCGAGCCAGTCGTCCATGATGGCGTTGACTTGGTCCGGGGTCTCCCAGAGCACCCAGTGGCCACCTTCGTCGACGAGGCCGCGCGTGAGGTTGGGCAGCAGCTTTTCCATGCCAACGCTCATGGCGGGCGGCAATGCAATATCGTGCGTCGCCGCAATGAAAAGTGCGTCGTGCTGCAGCGTAAGGTCGAGCCCGACCTTGTCGTCGTAGTCCATTTCGACCGTCTTGTACCAGTTGAGGCCCGTCTGGAAGCCTTGGCGCTGGTACTCGGCGACGATAAACGCGAGGTCTTGGTCCGAGAGATTCGACTTCTTCGTCGACGGGTCGAACTCGAACTGCTCAAAGTGCTCGAGCATCGCCTTGAGGTCAGCGGACACGGCGTCGGGGCGGTGCGATTCTTGAAACTGGAAGATGAGCTTGAAAAGCTTCTCCGTATCGGCTTCGAAGCGGGCGGCGGTGCCGTCCTGGACGAGAAAGAGCATGTACGTCATCGTCGGCGCAAACTTGACCATGGTCTCGAGCGAGACCTTCACGGGCGTCAATGGGCGGTACGGCGTGCAGATGGCGCCGACAGCTACGACACGCGACGGCTGGAAGAGAGCCATGGACCACGCCATGTTGCCGCCCCAGTCGTGCCCGATGACAATGGCCTTTTCAATCTGCAAGTGGTCTAGCACACTCGTGTCAATGCGGAAATGAGAGGGCAGCTGTACCGAGCAGCTGCGCGTACACGAGCGCGAGGTTCTTCCGGCGGTAAAATGCAGGCTCTTTCGGCGACGTCGTCGCCCCAAACCCTGGCTGGTCCGGAACGATGACGCGGTACGTCTTGCGAAAGTGCTGGATTTGAAACTAGAATGCGGGAAGGAGTGTCATACCAGACGCGCCAGATCCAACGCACCCGCCAGCTCCACCACAAGTCGGGCCAGCCGTGGAGCAAGAGGAGCGGTACCGCATCTACTCGTTCAAGCATCAAGTTTGTGCATTGAAATGGCCCACCAAGCTCGTACCGCGGGGCCCCACATCGACGTAGTGGAGGCGAAGGCCGTCCGAGAGGCTGAGGTATTTGTGGGTGTAGCTCGGGTCGTAGGGAGACGTCATGCGAGTGCGGCTCGTCGGCGTCAAATCCAAAATGAAACAAGGGAGCGAGATACCAAGGACCGCAGGTTTAGCTAATTCCCGCAGATTGCACAACGCGACAACATCTGATTTCGCATCTGATGTCGTGCGCTTTTTTAATGTGTACCCAAGGCCATAATTATGGCCTTGACGTTACGCACGCTCGTCATGTTGGAGATGCCCTGGGGCATTTGCCATCGCCACCATCGAGCAAGCACTGCAGCTGTGCCGCGTCGATCTTGCCCACCGCTGCCGACGGTACTAGTTGTAATCTTCACCTCGCCTCGCTACATCGCGCGTGCCAAGTGGCAGAGATAGGATGTCATTCATTCACTCGGTTGCGGGAAAACGAGGGAAAAGCCGCTGAAAGAGTTATGCTGGACATAAATGTATCCTCGTGGTTGTAGTCTGACGAGTGATGGCGTCGAAGCAGCGGCCGACGGCACCAGATGTTCTTACATTTTGGCGCGGCCTCCCAGGGACGCCAGCCACGACTTTACCATCGCGTTGACCTCGTCCGGGAACTCCCAGAGTACCCAGTGCGTACCGTTTGGTACGTGGCCGCGGGTCAAGTTGGGCAGCCATTTCTCCATGCCGGCGCTGAATTCGGGACGCAAGACCGGATCCTTGCCGGCCGAAATGAAGAGCGCGTTGTGTGGGATCACGCGTTCGAGCCCATGGGCGTCGATCCAGTCGAGCTCGGTCGTTTGGTACCAATTCAGGCTTTTCGCAAAGCCTTGGCGAGCGTACTCGGCCACGTAGTAGGCCATGTCGTCGGACGAAAGCGGAAGACCACCGGGCGCAAACGCCAGCGTCGCGACGGACGCCATGACGTCATGGAGGTCCTTGCTCGGTGCATTGAGCGGCAGACCACCGTACGCGAGCGTAAAGACGTTTTCCGCATGTGCGTCAAAGAGCGCGGCGGTCGACGGCGCCTGGAGGAGCAGCTGGTAGCGGAACGACGGCTTCACAGCGGCAATCATCTCGAGCGGCACGTACGCTCGAGGCTGCGGGATGTACGGCGTGCAAATGGCCCCCACGGCGAGGACGCGGGATGGGTAGAATTGGGCCATGGCCCACGCGACGGCGCCGCCCCAGTCGTGCCCGAGAAACACGGCGCGAGGCAAACCCAGATGATCTAGTCGCTCACACATCCGTGTGCATGTCTGTGCGTAGACAGTACCAAGAAGAAGCGCGTAGTCGTGCGCAACGATCGACTTGCGGTAGGCTTCGTACGCGTCCGGCGACGTCGTGGCGCCAAACCCGCGCTGGTCTGAAAATGTGTGAGAACGCGGCGTCGGGGCAATAGGAAGAGTACCTGGGACGATCACGCGGTAGGTGGCACGCAGAGCCTGGATCTGGTGCTAAAGTGCAGATGCATCGTCATCATGAGAAGGACAGTCATGTCGAGATAGCATCGTAGGATTACCCGCCAGCCCCACCAAAGGTCCGGCCAGCCATGGAGCAAGACGACTGGGATCCCGTCTACATGTCGATCCTGCCGATACCATCAATGTTTCCATCAAGCGACGCACCACGAGGGCCCACGTCGACGTAATGGAGGCGGATGCCGTTGAGATCGGCGTAGCAGTGCGTGTACTCGGGGCTGAACGGGCTTGCCATCTTGGACGGATATCGTCGAGTGGCCAATCACAAGACGCATCCGGATGCAACGTAGCCCATGATTGGTTCATCGCTGAAAAGTGCAATCAACTTGAAGCTGACGCCGTCGACGGCCACGCCGCCGGATCGCTGCATCCGCCTTGTCTGCGTGCGCCCTTGGACAAGATGTCCTGACTACGAGTGAAAGACGAGAATGTATTCAAGCACTCGTGGGTACTATATACTTGTTGTGATTTGGCGATCAGAACGAGAGCGAGAAGAGGTCGCGGCAGGCGGCGACGCCGTCGAGGGCCATGAGGCGCGTCTCGCCTTCCTTCACCCACATCGTCTCGTCCAGCGGCAGATCGGACAGTGTGACGACAATGAGCTCGCGCGTCGTCTTGTGGCGATACAGAAACTCCTCGGCTTCGTAGAGCTGCGTCATCTTGAACATCGTGCGCGACGTCTTGTAGCCTGCTTCGGACGCCGCGAGCGCCGAGAAACCAATGACTTGAAGAGGTCGCAAGTGTGCGGGGCGCGACGCACGCAAATTCTCCAAGATGCGTCCAAGGTCGGCCAATACGACGGTGGCCATGCGCTCGAACTCCCGGGTCCAGGCCGGAGTCTTCTCGATATGGTACAAATGCAGACCGAGTTCGCCGTCTTCATCGGTGGCTGCGTCAAAGACGCCATTTACCAAGCCAGCCTCGTCGATCTCCTTGCGAATGTACGCGGCCCACGTCGCCTTGGTCACGGGCACGACGATGCAGCAGCCCAAGCCATCGTAGATCATGCCAAACTCGGGGTGGAACATGTACCACTGGGCCATGGCCTCGGGTGTCAGCGGCGTGTCCGTCGGGTACATCTCCTTGTCGCTGGCAATGATCGCATCAAAGTCGCAGACCGCAATTGGGCGCGGCAGTGGCGGGCGACCCATGCTTCGAAATTGCCCAAGCGATTCGATTCTTGTATTTTATTGCATACACTTATCAAGATATATATTTAAATATCGATTTACGTTAAATAGTGTTTGAAAGTGACCTCCAACCACGACAGCGCGCGCTGAAGGTCAAAGACCGTGCCTTGGATAAGACACCTTTTCTCTACATGCAGAGTGGCGTCTACACGGCGCGTCTCTCTACAATACTCTTGGCAGGCCGAACAGTGTGCAGCTGAAAGGGGTCTTGCACACTAATATCTCCCACGGAGCATGACACTATTTCTATGGCTGCCGTTTCTGAAAAATTAACCTGCTCAACACTATACAAGGATGTCTTGACTCTTTGATTTAATTTTATGTATTTTAAACGCGTTGCATGCGGTCAAAGGTCAGCCCATGTTAACTTCCCGTCGAAGGGTTGCTGGCGTCGGCTCCTCAGAATTCAATCGCGATGGCATCGGGGGCCAACTTCTTCCGGGTACGACGGCGCCTTGCGGACGCTGGCCGCTCATGCAGACGACGCGTAGGGCACGTCCTTGGACCAGGACAGTCGGTTTTCAATCACCACAAGAAACTGTTGGCGAAAATGAAATTCCCGGCGTCCTTTGGGCAGAAGGTACACCTCGCAAAGGTCAACAAGGAAGTAATACACCAATGGATCACAGAGAAGATGCACGAGGTACTGGGCTTTGAAGATGACATTGTCGTCGCCATGACCATCAACCTCTTGGAACCAGCCAACGCGCTGGAACCATTGGATCCAAAGGAGATGCAGGTCGCGCTCACGGGCTTTCTCGAAGGCGACGCGGCCGCCTTCATGGAAGAGCTCTGGAACCTCCTCTTGAGCGCCCAAGAGAACCCAACCGGCATCCCGCAAGTCTTCCTCGACAAGAAGAAGAAAGAGATGGAGCTCAAGCGTGCGGCCGAGCAGGAGCAACGCGAGAAGATCCAAAAAAAGATCCAGGACATGCATGTCGCGGCCAAGACGCACGCGACTCAAGTCCGCGATCGCCAGCCGCCGAGTCGCCGCCCCGACTCGCGTGACCGCCAGCCCCCGCGTGGCCGACCGCGCTCCCGCGAGCGCCGCGACCGGAGCCGTTCCCGCGACCACGGCCGCCGCCGTCGGTCGCCCAGCAAGAGCCCTCGCCGACGCAAGCCGTCGCCATCGCCCCGTCGGCATGACCGCTCCAAGAAGACCAGCGCCTCGCCCCGCCGCAACGATGATCGGTCAAAGAAAGCCAGTGCGTCGCCTGCGCGTACCAACGAGCGGCCAACGAAGGCCAGCGTCTCGCCGCGGCGCAAGGACTCGAATGTGTCTGCCAAGGATCCTGCGACACCCGAAGCCAAGGCGCCTAAGACCCGGTCGCCCAGTGCGGCGAAGGACGTAGCACCGACAGAGAAGTCGGGTAGCTCGCCGGCAAAGAAGGACCAGATGTCCACGCGTCGGTCGCACTCCAAGGACCGCAAACGTCACCGGAGTCCGGACCGGCGTCGCAGCCCTGATCGTCGTCGCAGCCCTGACCGTCGTCGCAGCCCTGACCGTCGTCGCAGCCCTGATCGTCGTCGGAGCCCTGATCGTCGTCGCAGCCCTGATCGTCGTCGGAGCCCTGATCGTCGTCGCAGCCCCGACCGTCGCCGTGGCAGTCCCGGACGCCGTCACCGCTCGCGAAGCCGTGACCGTCGGTGCGTCACGATAGTGTCCTTGGTAGTTTGCGATAGGCTAACATTCGCGTGGTAGATCGCCGTCCAGAGACGAGTTTCAGCGGGAGAAGCGCCGCCGCAAGTCGTCGGCGGACGAAGAGTCGCGGCTCCGCGAGAAGGCCGTTGCGTCGCTCAAGAAGTAGGTGCATGTACTCCTCTTGCCTTTCACCCTTTCCGTAATCGTCGAAATAAACGCTATTTCACGGTCAATTGTCGGTCATTTGAACAGCAGGGACAACGGTCACACGCTGTCACTGGTGCCGAACCACGGTCAATCAATCGTCTCTGGGCCTTTCAGCTCAGTGACAGCAACGTCTATCCACGTGGCAGATTGTCCTTTGACCTTGAGTCCATGACGCGCCGCCAATGACTAATCGCAGTCCTGGTTCCACGAGCCGACAATCGCTCGAGGAGGCCATCGTGAGCGCACGGGTTCCGGGCGTGGTGGAAAGTCTTTCTTGCTGCGAGACCTGAAATTGAGCTTGGATAGAAAAACTCAAAGTTGGACCCATCCAAACGATTGATGTTTGATTGGCGACAACTATACTATTCATCGAGTTGCGTCCCAACGCCAAGCAGCCGTGGTTCGTGTACTGATGATAGAGTAAAGTGTACATCGTGGCGATGGACTGCTCTTACTGACGTCGTCAGTCGCCTCTTCGATTGCCCAAGGTGCGACATCGTCGATGCCACAGCCAGTGCATACGACATCTCGCCGGATGCACCGATCAGAGCCGTCGAGTAGTGATATGCCTTGATGGTCTGCTTTTGTCAGTGACCAACGATGGAGCTTCGACGCCGGCCCACTCTTCCACCTTCGGCAAAACCCGTCTGTATCAACTGCCATGCAACGGCTACAAATGTAGTCTATATGGCCGTTCCGTCTTGAAAATTCATTCAGCCACCTATACCTCTGGACTTATCCAGCGACTCGATTGACCTTTACAATAATGCATTCCACGCCATTTATCAAACGACAGGCCTACTCGACCGCAATGTCGACGGTCGGGCGCAGCTGCAAGCACTTGTCCAATACCTTGTGGATGTTGTGCGCGTGGAAGGCCTCCAAGCGTGCGTCGCGACCGGCGAGCGCCTTGGTGTCGACGTGGACAAACGCCTGTTCGGTCAAAATGTAGTCGAAGCGCGGCGCCCACTTGCGGCTCCCGAGACGCGCGGTCGTCGAGCAGTTGTCGACCATGTAGGCGACACCCCGCGCATGCATGTACGGGTTGAGCGAGTCGGTCGACTCGATCACCGACTCGTTGGCAACCTCCGAGTAGCAGTGGCCGTGGTCCAAGAGCACGTCGATCTGCGCCATCATCATGGCCACGTACGCACCGCTCGTAAACGGATCGAGCGGAATCTGCGACCGCGCCGCGCGGACCTTCTCGCCGACCTTCCACGTGAACGTGCCGTCGAGCTTGCCCATGGGAAA